ATAATATGATTATTTTATAAAATTTAATATAAAGTGACTAAATGATCATTGAACATATTTAATGACCTCTAATGTATTTTATTAAAAAACCTGAGTGAGCAAAAATCAAGACCAAAACAGGAAAAGCAACGTGTCGCCTTTTTAGATCGCATGGTCGCCACGTGTTCTTCTGAGCTGTCACCTAATATATTATTTCCGGTAAAAGAATCAGAAGCGGGAAGAAAAATCCAAAATAAATGTTTTGCAATATTTGGTTTTAAAACACAATATTTTAATTATTACAGGATTAAAGTGCTGTTTTATTGGCCAAAATGTTATTAACACAGGATTTTCTCTGTTTGGGCCAATTAATTTAAAAAATTATTATTATTTTATAATATTTTAAAAATATTAATTAAATTTATTTTAAACATATTTGAATTCATAATTATATAATAAAAGAAATTAAAATTTGTTAAAAGACGAGAAAGTCCTTACTAGACAAACTCTTCCGTGATCAACGGCAAAAGCTTTTTTCTTGAATTATGTAACTGATTCAACTGACAAGAATACGTTATCATCAGTATCCACGCAAAGTTCTTCATCATTGATCAAACTCAATCATAACCGTCCACGTCATATAAAAGTCAACGAAAAATCCAGAAGGAACGCGAATCATCATCATACACTCGTCTTCAACATAGTCCCGCCCCTTGAATTTCTTTCTTAATTCTTACGCATACGGAAATATTTTTTATCCATAATTTCAGATAATACTTTTTATTCTTTCTATCTACAATTTCCAACAAAACATATAAAATAAAAAAAGAAATTCCGTTTTTGATTTTCAGTCAATATAAGGGTTCTTGTATTAATTTATTGAGGTTTTGAGTATTTAATTTAGAGAAAATAACTTCAATGACCGAAAATACCTTATAATATACGATTTTGACCAATTTTTTTTATTGTCAAAATGACCAACAAATCGCAATATGATCTCTAAATCGCAACGCGATCTCCAGTATCGCAAATCAGTTTTTCAGATTCGCAACGCGATTTTGACTATCGCAATGCGAATGTGTAAATCGCAACGCGATTCTGACTATCGCAACACTGAATTTCAAATTCGCAACAGGTTTTAGTTTCGTAACACAAATGTTTTGGATATAACTACGCATCAGCAACAACTTATAACCTAAATCCCTAAATCACAACTCATTCCTCTATATCATTCTCTCGGCGACATCCGTTTCTATATCCAACATCCTATCCAACGACATCCTTCCCTATCCGGCAACAGGTTTTAGTTTCGCAGCCGTTTGTTTAGTAAATTAATTTACAATAATGAAATCATCTAATGTTGATCATGTTTGGATATATTTGTGTTTGTATGGTCATGGGAGAATGTTCATGGTGTTTTACAATATATGCGATTTTGACTTTCGCATTGCGATTTTGAGTTTAGCGTTGCGAATGTGTACCTTCAACAGTCTTTTGCTTTCAATATGATGCAGATTGAATCAACAAATTAATTTTACATTTCAATCAATTAAACAAGCACAATAAGAATTATTTACACATCAATTAAACAAATCAACTTTTACAAATCAATTAACAAGCAAAAAAATAATAATAATTCTTATTTTCCTCTGACTCCCTGCGTTTTTTGTGGCGCAGTCTCGTCTCTGATAACTGTAACATTGAACTTCTTTGTTCTTGTTTCCAGAATAAGTCCAATAATTAATCGCATCCAATAATTTAGCCAAATGAGAGATCCATCTCTTAATAATATCTCTCAATCAGACAATGATATATAATTTATCATGTTGTCATATACTATTATCTTCAGGGATGGGAGCTTCAGCTCGACGAGAAACCAATGATTATGTTCCAAAACAGGGATAAACACCTGCAATTATAAGTAATAATTCAATTGCGCGCTTATTTATGAACACCTTTAAAATATTTAAAAAATAAATACTAACCTTATTGACCTCCCACCATGCAGGATAAAGTTTAACTTGTTCATTACCCAACACATATGATTCATCTCGTTGATTCTTCAAGTGAACTACGTGAAAAGATGTCGGCATAATTATATATCGCGTATTTTTTTATTTTCCTCAGTTTCCTTATATTAGAAGACGTGACATCCATGCATCAATATGTTGTTTTACAAAAAAAGACATATTTCGCATTGCGATTATCCCGTTGCGATAGTCATTTTCGCGTTTCGATTTTAAGTTTCGTGTTGCGACTATTCTTCTTCTGCAAATTGAAACTTGAATGGATTGCATTACTTCAACCAAAAGACAAAACAAAGACAAATACTAACTTCACAGGGTTATTTTAGAACTGTTTAGCAGTATTTGCAGCAACCGAATAAATTTACTAAACAATCTAAGTGAAATGGTTAATCTAAGTGAAATTACGAGTAAATCAAGTTAAATATGAAAAATCTTAAACTTACATCTTTGCGTAGAGATGAACCTCATTCTGCAACGATGCTACCATCTCACGCAGAGCGGCTACCTCACCACGTAAAGTAGATACCTCATCACGCCATGCACCATTGTCATCGCGTAAAGTACCGACCTCCTCACGCAAGGCATTGACCTCATCACGTAACTCCCCTAACCATCCCGTGGAGGTGGATAACAGAGAGATAAATGTCGTGGCATCTTTGTCGGTCGCCTATCATGAGGTGATGGTGGAGAAGAGGCTCGATGATGTGACAGAATAGGTGATGGCTCTCGTTGTAGATAGTATGGTTGATCAGTGATGGCTCTGGGTGAGGTGATGGCTCTCGAAGTGGAGGTGCTCATCATCCGTGCCATCAAAAAAACGCTTACTAGCTTGCCACTAATCAGTGGCAAGCTCAGCCTTCGTGGGTGTCAGCCTCTGTAATAGAGTGTTGGCCTCCTAACAATATAAAAGATCAAACAAAGTTAAACGTGTACCAGTAATAACTTGTTATATATGGTAGTATTTGTGTTAACTACATCATTTTATTGTATACCGTAGTAACTTTTCTCAATCTAACAGCCGCCGTTTCCTCTTCCAGGAAATAGCCTAGGAATATCATTTGAAGTTTTTTATGCATATGTCTGCATGCGGGGAAAAGCCTCAAATATCCAAATCTACAAACAATATAATATACAAACATTAGTAATTGTTAAATAATTAATTATAATTTTGGAAACATTATATAGAAATTATTACCTTAAAGGCCAATAAAGCCTGACAAAGTGTATTTGGAACCATCGCCATACAAACTTTTTCGGTCATCAAAGGCAGACGACAACTTATTCCAGGTAGCTTTCCATAGATACGAACCCCACGGAAACATGTTCTATGCATTTAGGTCCTCTACCAATAATATTAGGTCCTTAGGAATAGGTTGTCTGGCTTCTCTGCCTAAAAAGCCGGCATGTAAAAGTACTAAAAGACATACTCGAATAACATCAACGTCATCCATCCGAGTAAAACCATATTTCTTATTAAATAATCTTGTTAAGTCGTCGACGTGTAAATTCGGCTCTCCATTGACAGGTCAGAAAAACCCCGGGATAACCATGATGGGCGGGTAATATGCTAGTGTATCGACCTACATCATCGTGTCCGAAGCGTAGACCAGTGATTAAGCAAAACTCATCCCGCCCAAAACACGTATACGCCGGTAGAAAATGAAACCATATCTCTTCATTATCACATTTTATATTCTCGGGTAGATCGTTAGTCATGGTCTGAAGCCACAAATGGGTCAACATAGCATCTCACCCGGATGTTGTACTTTCAGCCATGACCCGAAGCAATTATCCTCAAACAATTTTCTTTGTACAGATGAAAGCTTCACAATTGTAGTGACTAGACTATTTTATTCCTTAAGGTCAATTAAGCCGAAAAAAATTATACAAAATAATAAACATACCTAGTTAGATATACCAAAAACTACACTGTGAAGATATACAAAAACAATAATAAACATAAAGAGTAGTAGTAGTTTATTCTTCAAAACTTAAATTTGTAACACTGTGAATTCGTATTTGTCTTTGTTTTTGGTTGAAGTAATACAATTCATTCAAGTTTCAATTTACAGAAGAAGAATAGTTTCTAAAACTTAAAATCGCAACACGAAAATGACTATCGCAACGCGAAACTAAAATCGCGTTGCGATTTTCATTTCGCGTTGCGATTCTCAATTTCAAATAGTCGTTGTCTAAATTGAAACTTGAATGAATTGTATTATTTCAACCAAAGACAAAACAAAGATAAATACTAACTTCACAGGGTTAAAGACTAAACAATTTAGCAGTATTGACAACAATCGAATAAATTTAATAAATAATCTAAGTGAAATGATTAATCTATTATTGAAATTACCAGTAAACTTATCATCAATTTCAATATGAAAAACCTAATAATAATGCAAAAATTTCAAAATAAAATAATTTAAAAAACTAAGCATCGGTGGTTGATTTTCCATTTCTGACCGTGAATGATTGTGAGGGTGGCTCTGAGAGATGGAGATAGACGGATTTCGCCGGAGATGATGACGGATTTCGTCGGAGATGGGACGGATGTCGCCGAGAGAGTGAGAGATGAAGATGAGACTGAGTGTGATTTAGGGTTTTAGGTTATGAGTTACGATTACGAGATATATTAATATTCGTGTTTGGAATTTGAAAATAAAATACGCGTTGCGATACTAATGGTGCTTTGAAAATCAAATTGCGATTTTGTATTATCGCGTTACGAATCTGGAAACTGATTTACGATATGGAGATCATATTGCGATTAGAGATCGTATTACGATTTTGTTGGTCATTTTGAAAAATCAAATTTTTTATCAAAATCGTATATTATAAGATATTTTCGGTATGAGATATTTTATCTTTAATATGTAAAATATTTAGAAATTTAAAGCAACTTCTGGTTTTTTTATTCTCTCTCTCATCAACAATGGCGGAAATATCGCCTTCCATGTGCACTTCACCAGATATTATTAATAGCCATGCTTCAGCTCCCAAGCTTTCTCTGCTCGTTTCATTTACTCATTACGATGCCGCTAATTTTTGGAAGGAATAATGATAATTCTAGTTCAATCAGACGCTCGGGGTTTCTTCACGGGATGCAGTGTATCTCCGTCTATGGATCGCCGGAGGAGAAAAGCGAGGATAGGAGGAGGTTGTCTTCGACGGTGGAGATAGACGATGATGATTTGGGGTCTTGCAGTTCGTCTTCGATTGGAAGGAACAGTGATGATTCTGGTGAATCCCAATCAGATGATGATGACTCACCGGAGGCGGAAGTGAAAAGCCAGCCGAAAGGACCTTTGGACACATGGATGCTCTCGAGGAGGTTTTGCCCAAGAGGTAAATCATTTTTTATCATTAAAAAAATCTTAAAATTTTGGATTCTGTTTTCCTTTATAGGGTTGATCTAATTTGGGTTATTTGTCGAACTTTGTAAAGAAATCTAGAGGCATAGCTAGGGTTTTATTTGAAAATTTCTCCTTTTGTTTTGTAAATACTGATTTATATGTCTCTGGTTTTTAACTGCTTAGAATGTAGTCTAAAGTGAAATTTATGAGTTTCCATTTCTTCAAGAGAGTTGAACTGGCTTTAGCTTTGACATATATCCCTGAATAAATTTTCTTAGTGGAAGTTATGAACCACTTACAGCATGCTAACTAGCGAGGTTTGTATTTGGTAATTGTTAAGACCGAAGAATATTTACTGGTTTGCATTATTTACTTGTTTAAATGATAATCTTCTGATGCACTTGGAAATTAGAATATCTGACCACCAATCACTCCTTGAAGTTGCTCTCTTTGATCATCTAATGTCACTAAACATTTCGAGGGAGTTTGGTTTTATGTTGCAATATTACCATCTATAAACCAAAGGCCATGCGATGCTTGGACTCGGGTGTGAGTGCCGAGCACGGGTATGTTCTCAACATAAGTATATTTCAGGTTTTTCATATATTTGGAGACTCGTATATCTAGACCCATATGTGTCGGACATGGATGCCGGACACAGGTACTTCAAGTATTTTTGGAATAATAGGAAAATGTTTTTAGTAACCATTGCTTGAGGAAACACGGATGCCAGACATGGGTGCTCTCCCGTTTTTACTTAGTAGCCATGCTTGGCTAACAGGAAAATGTTTTCTTAAAAGGACTGCTGTCATTTGCATAGTTATTGTTTGGGTGCGTCAATATCTTATTATTTGTGGTTTGCTTTATTTCAGAAAAGGCATATCCCAGTTTTATAATGGCAAATCAAAGTCCTTCACAAGTGTAGCCTATGCAGTTATGCTTCCTCTGTCAAAGATTTTGCAAAGCCAGAAGATCCCTACAGTAAGAAACGCAAGAACTTATTAGTCCGTGGTTCTTTACTGGACAGTAAACGCAATAATCCTTTGAGAAACTATGTAACTGAGATATCTAAGAGAGTATCCAACACCAACCGAATCAAGTGGCTCTGGGATCTGCAACAATCAGCTCTGACATCAATCAACCTCATCATCACCATTACTGTCTTCCACCTCTGCATCCACCGTGTAAAAAATCAACTACAAGCAGACCATTGTCATCATCGACTAATAGACCAAACCCCCCTGCCGATCTTTTCCTTATTGATCTACAGTTTATTGCTGCCGGAACTCCTAACATTGCTGGTTTTGCTGTTCACAGTGGCAACAAGGGCAATATACTGCACTGAATTTAACTGAAGTTCAACTTACAAAATTACGGAACTTGATCTTTCTACAAGGTTCGTAGTTTAGTCTTGGAGTCAGTCATTTGCCACGTCATGCTTTGATCTAATACTTCTAGTTTGAAGTGCTAGGTATACCATGATGATGAGTTTAGAAGTAATTCCTAATGTATGTTCTCTTGTTTGCTTTGAGTCGACGATGAGAGCATTATTGTATGGAACTATAAGTAAAATGCATTCTCTTCCTGAGCAGCAAATGTTTTTTTTTCTAAAGAATTTTTTTTTTCTAGTTACCATTAACATTTTACTGCACTCCCAAAAAGGCTACTCTCCTCATTCTTGGAGATCAATGAATATTGGTTATTTCCCATTTAAGGGAGAAACACAAGTATTGATTGCATTTATTTGAAGATATACAAACTGATAAGAGTTAAGGAATTTGGGTTGCATTTTAGATCCTTGGAAATAACCCTGCCAAAATACAAAGGAACTTGAAGGAAAACAAAGAAGCACAACAAGACCGACTCATTTGCTAGCAATTTCAAACAAAATAGAAGACACAAGCAACCAAGGAAGCAGAAGACACAAGCAACCAAGGAAGCAGGGAAATTACTGAAGACAAATAACCCAACAAATTAGATCATCTTAACCGGTACCACCAAGAGCTTTCTTCAGCTTAATGAGAGGCAGAACTTTCTTCAGCTTCTTAATGAGAGGCATTGAGGAAGGTAGTCTGTTGTATAATGCCACTGGGTAATTCATTTTCAAACAATGCAAAGTCGAGGATTTGAAGACCAGGTCTTTGACTGCTAAAGGATGCTGAGTGCAGCGGCTGGAGTTTAGCCTCCATTGATTTGGAAATGCAATAAACCCTGTGGGAAAACCATACCATCTCCCTTCCTCAAGAGTTTTGACGTAAACAGCGTTGACTGAGGATATGAATCCAGCACTAATTTTGCCTTGAATAACATAAAGGAATTCCGAGTACGCGGGGCGGGGTGTAAGTACCATACCACCAGGAGCCAAATCCAGACGAGTCATTGAAATGCCAAGTCCATTAAGACCGGGGAATTGAGCAGAGAAGGCTGGTGTTACGGTAGCTTTTATGAGGTTTGAAGTGTTGCCTGTGGCAGCGATGCCCGAGTAAAAGAAATCATTTACGGTGACCTCTTCAGCCTTCTTGAGAATAACCTGCAGGGCCTTGAGGAGCATTTAAGTCCCCACTGCGTTGGAGGAGGAAAAATATGAAAGATGACGCGAAAAGGACTGGGAGGACATTTTATGGCCACTGTTTTTTTAAGCCTGGAAACTTTGAAGAGTAAGTCTCGCCCTTTACATAGAATGAAAAGAATAGATATATTTACCGACAATCAATTGCTTTAATGGTTTAGAGTTAAAACCGTGATATTGTGAATAGAGTAAATAAGCTTGGAGATCCGTCGCATAATACACTTAATACAAATTAATTAATTAATAGATTGAACATCGATTATTAGAATAAAAAGTATGAATATTCTTAAGCCACGATAGGTGATTGATGTTATGTCCATGCATATTTTCACGTGATGACGATGAAAGTGACTATTCGAGTGCGAAACGACGGATCTGGAAGCAGTGATACGTGTGAATAGGTAAGACTCGCGCAAAACATCAGTACTCTTTTGCTTTCGGAAGCCACAAGATTGGAGGGGAAAATGAAAATATCTTTTGCATCCAACTGCTGCGGGTAATTTCCGTTTCTTGGCTGTAGCATTGCTGCTGTTTAAATCCCTGATATATGCGACATCGCAGTATCTGTTAGCATTAACGAAACAAGACTAATCATTGAATGCATGCGTACTGTTAACGCTCAAATGGAATCTATTAGGTGTATCCATCAAAGACGGCATACTGATGGGAACTGTACTAATCCTGCAAAATTTGAGGGAGTCTCTGAAGGTGGCATTGCCTATGTTGTATCCAACCACAGATATACACAACAACATAGTCTGTTATTAGGGTTTAATTAGCATGGAAAACCAAGATCATTGTTTACAGGGAGGAGGTTTGAGAAGAGTAAGGAAGTGGTGGTCCATTGGCTCCAGCGGCTTGTTAGGAGGGAGTAGGGAGTGAAGTTAGGGCAATAGAAGACATCCTGAACAGCTAATAAGAGTCTGCTCATCAGTTTGGTTCTCCATGGGAAAAAGATCCTTAGAAAATGCAAAATATCAAACATTTATGGAATATCCTAGTGGTTGACACGCTGATTTCTCCAATTTATTATAACAGAGGTTTTCCTTTCAGATCATGTGAAATATCCTTTGCCCTGGTGATTAGGCAACCCACCATTAAGACATATAAGCTTGGGGTCCCACCTGAAACCTTAAAGATTCGAGGCATCAGCCCTTCCCTGGTCGACTCTGTCGATGCCTCATTCAGATACCATCATTGAACCGGAACCACAAGATCTTAGAATTTGGATGTTTCATCGTATTTGAGATTTTGTCTCAAACTCTTTATACTTTCAGAATTCATTTTAAGATGGAAATTGTTAGCCTGATTCAAAGTCATTATGGCATAAAAAGATGGAAATTGTTAGTCTGATTCAAAGTCATTATGGCATAAATTAATTAAGAAATAATTTAGGAAATTAAGGAACTTAGGTTGATTAAAAGTGTGAAGCTTTTTTTTAATGTTGTAAACATACGTTGATTAGATATCTACTTTATAATTTTCCTTTATAATTGAATATGTATCTCTATAAATAAATATTAGGATGATGGTTATCTATGAGGAATCCTCTATATTCTTCTTCTCTCGATATTAGTAAAAAAAATTCTCTTTTATTTGTGATTTAAAAAAAAAAAATCATATAAAATCTTGGTGTTTCTTTTATCTTTGTGATATTTACGTTTATAGTAGATTATTGTTCTTCTCACCTGTAAAGGTAAGTAAAGTCGAATCATGTTAAATATCATCTCTTGCACATGTCTTATTTTACGTTAAATTCACTTTGTTATTTGTTCACTCTTAAATTCCTAACACGAGACATATTTAAGTTAGTATTTCAATGTTGATACTAACTTGAAAACTTATATATCAATATAATTATAGTTAGTGTGTAAATGAATCAAGCGATGAATAATACTATGTTCGTACTCGTTTGTTAATTTTTAAAGTTTTTAAAGTTTAATTAATATTAGTTTAAATTTTTAAATCATATTCGTTTAATGTTTACAAACCAACACTCTATTTTCACCATTTTATTTGCAAGCCAAAGAAAAATGATGAAATTATACCACTAATCAGGTTCTACATTTTGAACTCCAAAATTCACAATGTATTCAATTTAGTTTTTACTTTCACCAATATTTAAAATATATATATATAAAAAAGAAAATAGGGTAAACGAGCTTGTTTGTGAACAATAACGAACCAAACACACCTCTTTTTGTATTAATTCGTTTATTAAATGAACATAAAAATTTTGTTTATACTCATTTATTTAACTTAATAAACATACATAAAATTAAACGACTGTTATACGAACAATTCATCAATTCACCACCAAGTCATCGAATATTTTGTACATTAACTCCTTAACTATAGTAGTGGATGTGAGACTCATGATGCTGATATTTAGGCTGTTCACTGTTACAGTATTCAATTTTATTTCTGGAAATGCACAATCGGCTACCTTTATCTTCACTCAGGAATGGATAGTCTGTGTACCCGACAACGAGATCCTGCGTAAAAAATGTCTTCCTAATGTACCTATTTAATGGTGCATTAACCTCAACCTCAAAACCAAGTCAGGATTTGAGAAGAAAGACGACGTAAGATACCAGATCTGCATCATCCTCTGCAACAGCTTGCATTCCCGCTCCCTAGTGAATCCACCACTACATATAGAGTTCCTGATAAGTCCTCTTCAGAGTCCTCATTAATAAGCTTCCTAATCTCCCGTGTCTGCCTGATTTGGTTTGCCCATAAGCATGATAACGAGGCTGCGTCACATGAAGATAAGCAAGTTTTGACCACAGCTGTAGCTGCAGCTTGTTAAGTCTCTCAATCACTGCGAAGCCTAGGTTGAGCGGATTGGAGTCCATTCTATCGAGGTGATCAATTGCAGGTGAAATTCTGATGGCCACTCTATCTACACCAATAGTTGAAGCTACTGCCTGAACAATTTGCATTAAGAGTTTGCCAATGATCCACCGTACTCATCTGTGCGATCATTGATCCCATTCTTTAAGAATTGGTCAATGAGATAGCCATGTGCTCCATGAATCTCAATTCCACCAAAACCTGCAAGTTTTAATAATTTTCTAAATTCAGCCTGCTATTCAATGATTGAGACAACGACTTTGACTAGATCAAACTCATAAATTGAAAAGAATGCAGCTTCAAGGCAATGTACCGATAATTGAATTCGATGATTAATGTTTAACTAACCTGCTCGAATGGCATTCGCAGCTGCCTTGCGTTAATGCTCTACAACCTCTTGTATTTCCAAGGTTTCCAGAGGTCGAGGTTTCGGATATATGTCGTAGCTCCCATCTGGCACAAGAATTCTCCACTTCTTTTAGATTGGCTTATCCGTCTACGATATCGGTGGCGCTCCACCAGGTTGATACACTGTTTCATTAGTCAACAACCAAATAAAACATGCTATAAGTGATCAACTCCCAAAACATATCCGGTAAAACGCAAAATGTGTACCCAGGGACTGGGGGAAATTACCTGAATGAGATGCTAGGCCGACGTGCCACACTTGACTGAAAATGATGCCTCCTTTGGCATGAATAGTATCCACAATCGTCTTCCATGCCTTCACCTGTTCTTCATTGTAGATTCCTGGAACATGTGGAAACCTGCTTCGACATTGTTTCAGATGCAATATTAAAATATTTGTGTTACTATGTATAGTTTTTAAGTGAGACTTTACTATTGACGGAATAATGCGAGTGAGACTCATATGAAATACACTATCAGAATTTGAGTTACGAGATTACCCTGCTCCAGTGTCGGAGATCAGTGTCACTTCGGTGATGAGAAAGCTGCCGGGAGTCGTCTCTGGGTGTAATATTCAGCAAGCGCCGCCCTTGGGATTCCATTCAACCCCTGCATCTAGTCATAGGCGCCAGCAACACATCTGGGTGTTAATCTAGATGCAACATTTCATCAATCCAACCATAATTTCCAGCATGGTACTCTAGTTTTCCAATAATTACCTATTAATCCTTCACTTTTCAAACCATGCAAAATAGTCCTTAAAACCCAACAAAGTTCTAATTTGATCCAAAACACAATTTCCAAGCATCTAAGATCATTCTAAACCATTCACATATCAAACTAACAAATTTTTAACATCTCTCCATAATACCCATCATAGCCAAAACTTTCAATTAAGTCCCTCCTAATCATTTCCAATCAATTTTCACACTTATACTTCCATAACACTCCTAAAGCTAGATTACAACCTTATCTCAATCAAATTCAACTTTCTCTTCAACCACCATAAATACCCACTTCACCATTTAAGCATGAAACAATGAAATACCTATACCAATTTGTAGAGAATTCGGTTTAGAACATTTTCTTACTTCACACTTTAGTCCAAAATCTCACTAAAATGGATCAAAATGGAAAAAAAAAACTTTGCTCACCTTGGCTATGGAGCCACGGCAGAATGGAGAAGAAGGGAGGAGAATTATTGAGTTTTCCATACAAATATCTCTTAATTTATCTTTAAAAATCCATTTTAGCCCAAAAGTCAAGATTACCCTTAATGAATCCTAATTTTTACCAACATGCCATCCTTTTATCTCCATTTTACTATCGTTAAATAAATATAAATCTCATTTATCAATTTCATATTCACCCTTTTAATTTTTCAAAAATTCAATGTAGTCACTAAATTTCACTATTCCACTTTAACATGAAAATTCCTCCAAATTTCACTAATTCACATCAAATTATACTAATTAAAATATCAATATAAATTTATAACCTCAAACTCCTTTCCTTCAAATTTTGTAAGCTTGCGATTCGATCCGATTATCCGAATATTTTATCAGACTATATCACTTAATAAACTTTTATACCAATTTCAAATCAAAATTCTAAAAACCACTAAAACTATATTCTTGGGCTGAACTACTCAATTACATACCCAAAATATAACTTTTGGAAATTTATATTTTTAGTCCATAAACTTTACAAATTTACACTTTGTTCTCCCGACTTTCGAAATTTACTTTTCAATCACCAGTCCAAAATTTGAAATATTACATGTTTAGTCATTCTTTCATTTATTTTTCTTATATTAGATTTGACATTGTCATGATTAATTAAGATTATACATATTTGTTGTCCTACTAATCTTCCTTACTTTGGATTGTCAAATTGAATTTATATATATGTGATTTTTCACAATACTTTGCTTTGATTTATGTTTTTTTATAATATTTCAATAATTTGATATATTATTGTAGTTTGTTTGCCTCGTGTATTAATATTTGTTTGTATTTATTTTTTTATTTGAATTTTTTTAAATCTTGTCTTTGTATGCTCTCATCTTTATGACTATAATTATAAATCTTCAAGTTAATTTTAAATATTTTTATTTTTATTTTAAATCTAATTGCACGATACTTTGATATGAAAGGTATAATGAGTAAAGGGGTGAAAATACTAGCATGTGGTAGCCCACACCCAGACCCTTCTTCATCCTGTCCTCTCTGTTCGATGCAATCAATCATAAATGTGGGCTTCATTTTTCATCACACAAATTGTCATTGTCGGATGGTCCCCCGACACATCACTCCTCACTCTCCAGCTGCTGATAAAAACAAAAAGAATTTATCCAAAAAAAAAAAGAGGAGCACTATTGGCAATTTTAATATTAATCACTCACGAAGTAAGTAAATTTAGTGAATAAAAAATTATTTTTAGCTTTTAAAATTTTAAGTTTAAACATTGATATAATATTTATCGTTAATTAAAAATATTTAAATATATTATTTTATTTATCCAAAAAGAATTTTAATCACGACTGTTAATTATTTGTTGCCTATTTCCAGACGCCACCCCTTCATATTATAAGAAGAAGCCTAATGTTCCTCTTTCAAGTACCGAGTCACTTGTTTATTCAATTTGATCCATCATTTTTAATTCACTCCCATATAAGACTTTCATCAGAAAAAGAAAAATACGTTTTTGAACCATGGGATGATCTCATGTAATTCACGCCGTCTTATTTTTAACATTATATAATTATTATTCATATTAAAATAACACATATTTAATGTAGTAAAAAGTAAGAATACAAGAGGTTTAATATAAAAATAATTGTTAAAATTATTATTTTTTATTTAAGCGTCTAAAATATTTTTTCGATCAATTTAAATGTCTAGCATTTAGAAACATTTTTAGTTATCTAGACTATTACGATCGTTAAATTCTGTCATTACATAACATATGCAACCTCTATAATTTTTTTATTTAAAATAAAACTTAAAAAACCATTTTTTTTTAAAAAAACCTCATTCTTTTTCTGGAATTATAAAATAACCTATTTTTAATTCCTTTACTATAGTTGGCCATCATCAACACCGCTAACTAATCAAAATTCTAACGGCGTGTGATCGACTGAACACAAAAGATAGAAACCTCGTACTCAAACCTCTAATTGCAATGGAAATTGACGATAATTGAAAACTGGTGATCGTGAAATCTTGCATTTATATAGTTGTTGGGTGTTCAGTCGGTTGTAAAAGTAAGAGATTTTGGTCATTGAGTAATTGACCAGATACATGTGGTTGATGTTTGGCCGATTGATGACTTTGATAGCGGCTGACGGTGACAATGAGATTAAAATTCTTTTTTTAAAATTATAATTTTAAATATTTTTTTAAAATTTTATAAAGATAACATGTGTCATTCTATAATGAAATTTAATGATGTTAACCGTCTAAATACATAAAAATATAATGTTGAAAATGTTAAATATTTAGATTAACTGAAAAATAATTTAGATAAAAATAATATAATTCGGCATTAATTTTTATATAAAGCCAATATATGACAACTTTTTACCTAGTTAATTATAAAAGTGAAAGCTTTTTCATGATTCCCACTTTTCCAAGGCATAGAGGGTGAAGTAAGATCTGGTCAAAAGCAAAACACTGCTAAATACACCGAACCGTATATCGAGGATCATGTCCGCACACATGGTCCACGTGTCTTTATCTAAAGCCGTATCAAAATGATCTGAAGAACATTGCGCGCACAAAAGAAGAAGAGAATATTACCGTTTTATTCCTAATAGAATTAAAATTAACAATTTAATACTCTAATTAATAATAATTAAACCAATGCTTGAATTTGAAACATTACTGTCCATAATCTCAATCTGTCTGCTTAAATAAGCTTTCACTCTGAAACTTCTAAGCCCAACACCATGACAATTGACAAGAACAGAAACTGATAGGGATAGCAACTGAAACTGATCGTCTCCTCACTTCGTCCGTTGTCGTTTTTGATTCGTTTGCAGCTTTTAGGATTTCTTATTGGTTCTGGGTTTTTCTTTTTTAAAATAATTTTTATTTTTAATATCGTCTTGGACGTCGCATACGAGGAGAACAAAAACCTTTTTTGTTTTTTAGTTTTGCTTCTTAAAAACCTCCATTAATTACCAGAAACTTGATACAGTTTTCTCTTCGCTTTGGTAAAAATAGAGGGGGGGGGGAATAACTGAAGGATTTGACCTCAAGGAGAGAGCTTTGTTTTCTTTATATGGCGGTTGCTAAATACCCTTTATGTTTTCTTTCTCTCTTTGTTAAAGTTGGTTTTATTTTTCCCTTTAATTCATCGATCCGAAAAGACAGTAGACGATAATCGTTTTAGTGTGGCTCCAAACCGTTTTTCTTAGGCAAGTATTTTGGGGTTTTGTTTCTATGCTTAATTTATTTCAAGGTTAATTTCAGTACCCATTTTAGTGGGTTTTTGTGTGCTTTACTTGCTCGAGTTATTGAAGAACTATGTGCGAATTACTGTTTTTCGAAGCATCCTATTTTATTGCAAGAATATTGATTTGTTTCAAGTTCTGACTTTGTTATTCTCAAGCTTGTTGTAGGTTGTAACTGAAGTTTTTTTTTTTAATAAAATGGAAGTAACTGAATGATTTCTCACCTAAGATAAACGTTTAATTAGTGTAACTTGTCTTTCCATAGGCCGATTTCAGTTATTTCTTGAACTTGTTTCTTTGATTAGATCAGTGATTTTTAGATGATCTATTATGATTTGTTGAAAGATGGGTTTTCATTTTTGTTTCCACTTGAAGGGCGAAAATTATTAAGCAAGTAATTTTAGTCAAATTGAATGGAACGTTCAATGTTTTAGCAATTGTTTATGTTTATGTGTTGTTTGTTCGTGTATGCTAACAGTTGAGTGGCATTAAGGATGTCTAAGAGTGAAAATTCTGGTAGCCCTGGATGGAGTGCATCCTTTTTCATGCCAACTAAAGAGGATGTTGCTAGAGCAGTTGCTGCCGCTGCTGCAGCTGCAACTGCTGTTCATTCTCCCCGACCATCTGCTGTATATTCATTGAAAGATGAGAATACCGGTAGTCGATTCCAGAAGCTACAGCATCATGTTTCAAGAGTGTTAAGAGGCTTCTCGCAGTCCTCTGAAGTGAGACTTGGAACTTACAATCCGGAAATTCTGACTAGCCAAAAGCGTCAGTGGGCAAGCTTTCAACTGCAATATTTGGTACAGTACTTCATTCAAGTTGACATTTTTCTTGTTAATGCTACTCAGACCTGTGTATGGACTTTTCTCAGCAAGTAAATACCGAGGGATGTAATTTTGTTAATGTAGCTGTTATTTTAGTACAGCATTTACAACCCTTAATATGCCAAGTATTTTCTTGTCTAATTGTCATTCAGTATATATTTATTGCAAGGCATAATATGAGCTCCGATAAACCTCTTTTGTTTTACTTGTATATATTCATACTTCTGTTTAACTAGTAATAAAAAATCTCAAACTTGTTCTCATAACATTCTATTTCTAAGTGTGCAGGATCATAGATCTTTTAAGGAACCCTCAAGGTTGTTCGAGAGCATGGTTGTTGTTGGACTTCCTCCTAGTTGTGATGTTCAGGCTCCTCAAAGGCAATATGTCACTAGACAGTTTGAAGGTTCTGGGAAGCTGCGAAGTGTTCTAAGTTGTCAGAATAGTTCTCGTGTCGAACCTTGCCTCGAACCCCAGGTGGGTGTTCTTCATAAACAAGCATTTTCTTAAGGGCCTCTCATGTGGAGACAGGGAGGGGGTGGTTGGGGTGGGGCATGTCTTTGGATGTTGATTCTGTTCTCTATTTTCAGGTCTTATTTGTTTATCCACCAGAAAAGCAGCTGCCACTTAAATACAAAGATCTTCTTTCTTTTTGCTTCCCTGGAGGCATCGAGGTCGGCTAATGGTTCTTCTTCTATTTATTGCGGTAGTGCTTAATAGTGTGAAGTGTTCATGCTAAAAAGTGCTTATAGCTTATGTTGTCCTGTGAATACTCAGTTGAGCGAGTTTGTCAATTTAGCTTTTGTTTTTCTCCTGCGTAAATATACCTGTGCATTATAGATGCACATTTAAGCTGGTTTTTCTAAATTCAGTTTGTTCAATTTTAGGTTCATGCTGTTAAGAGAACTCCTTCAATGAGTGAGCTGAATGAAATTTTTCTTTCCCAGGTATTTTTGCTAAAATCTACCTTCCACTTGAATTTTGATGATAGATTATATAAAGCTGTTTGCCTTTGTACCTTCTCAATCGTCCTTCTTGTGGAGATTTACCATTAAAAAATCATCTTAATGAGTTCTAGATTTATTTAATTGAATGCTGCAGACTGCATAGTTTGATTTTATCACTTGATTATGTCAAATGTTAAATCTCTCATGTCACAATTCATGTCTTGCAGGAACACCTAAAACAAAGTGACCTGTCATTTGTATTCCGGTTACAGGTAACCTTGGAAACGTTATGTTATTTGTTTCTATAATGTTGAATTTCTTTTCTCATTGTGTTGTTCTGTTTTAAGTTGTGTTGCCTGCTGCTTATATGATCAAAGCTTGACGTGTTGTATGTTGATGATCATTCTAAAGTTCATGCTCCTATCTGAGCTATTAATTTAGGCTAATGTGTTCTGGAACTTTGTTGAACTCATTTGGTCCCGTTATTTTTTGATCCCAAAATCCTTGTTATTGTCTCTAATCTCTGCTAACAGATTTAGTTTTAGTTGTGATTGTTATTGGGAGTTGGGACATATAAGTATATGTATTCTGAATCTTTTACTCATTTGTACGCTATACTTGAATTACTAGATCACTTACTATAGCTCTATTAGGTGTATATTTGTATTTTTAATGAAGATAGTGTTTTGTTGTTTACTTCATATCTTCAATTGTTTATAAGAAGTATAATTTCTACTTCATTTATGATTTCCTTTATCATGACATTGTAAACCATGGTAGCTGTTTTCTTTTCTGTGACTTTTCGCTCTCTCTTTCTCTCTAGGTTGCTGATAATTCCACTTTGTATGGATGCTGTGTGTTAGTTGAAGAATTAGTACAAAAGCCCTCTGGATTGCTTTCCTTGACTTCAGATAGACAACCTGCCTACCCGTCTCTGAGTCGTTATGTAATGACCACTCGCAGATGTTATTGCATTCTTTCGAGGCTTCCATGCTTTGAATTGCACTTTGGTGTTCTGAATAGGTGTGCTTTATTAATATCAGATGCAACAAATGATAATATGGATCTTTTAACTTATTATTATTGTTGTTTCCATTAAGAGTACAATCTAGATTTATTTGGACTGAAACGTCAGTTAAGATTCATGCATTATTTAAAAGTCCTACTTGATGAAGTTTCTAGACTGAAATCTTGAGATTTGATGCTAGCAACATGGTTTAGTTCATCTTACTGATTTCATAACTTCTTTATCTCCTTAAAATTTTCATGCAGCATTTTTGATGAAGAAAGGTTGGAACGATTAACAAAAAGCATCAGTGATATAGATTTGGAGTTGTCTGAGAATTATAGCAATGAAGCAAATATGGATGATGCCTTAACGGAGCAAGAAGCAATGGAGGATATGCAGAATGCAATGACTGGAACCTCCGAGTTAAGTTCTGAAGATTCTAAACCTGGAGGTACTGATGATGGGAACATTTCGGACCATCAAATGCTTGAGAGGGACTTTGAATCAAACAAAGTTGTTAATTGTGATAGTGTTGTTACAGTTGATCTGGAAACGAAGACATTTAAAAGAAAAAAAGAATCTAGTGGTGCATTTCCTGAAGATTGTGATACTGATGTTGATGATTTCACAACAAATAAGCAAACAGCAGAACGGCATTTGACAAATGCGGTTCTGCCTTTTCTGCGCTATTATCAATATGAAAGTTCCGAGTCTTCTTGCAGGTAGAATGCTTTGCAATGCTCCTAGTATCATTTTTATGGACATTTACATGGTGAACTAGTTTTATATTGTTTTGCTGAAGCATGCTTTTGGGTCCTTCACATTCAGGAGTCTCATCTTTCAGGTAACATTTTGATATATTCGATATTTATTTTCTGTGCAGTTTTCAAGGTTCTCCTTGTGATGACAGGAATTTGAGGAGTGATGTTGATGATACAGAAACAGAAGAGGCATCTATTTCTGGCCAGGAAGATTCCAGTGATCACCTTGATATCCTTGAATGGGCTAAGGTTTGAATATGCCATGTTTAGTAATTTAAGCTATTAACCTTACTCTTATGCCATGCCCCACTTTTTTTTTCTACATCATAGAGAGTAATTCCCCACAATTTCCAGGCAAACAATCATGGATCATTGCAGATACTGTGTGAATATTACCAGTTACAATGTCCAACAAGGGGTTCAAAACTCAGGTTTCATCCTTTGGAGCACCTTCATCCACTGGAATATCATAGACCTGATGAACAAGTTCTGCATATTGCTGGCTCAACCATTGATTTGAGATCTTGCAATACAAGTCTTGAAATTGCTGAGGTAACCGTGATTATTAGTTTCATGGGATGGGATAATGTGCATTCCTCATTTCAAGTTTGATGGTTAAATTCCATCTCACTATTATCTTCTTTTATCAGGCATACACTGCACTTTTGGCAGAAGAAGAATCAATCGCTATGTCAACATGGGCTGTTGCATGCACATGTGGATCTCTGCGGCTTGAACATGTAAATACGTGTCCCTGCTTATTTACAGAAGCATAGCATGCTGCCTTAGGTTTTCTTTCAAGTTGATTTTAATGTAATGCTTGGCTTTTTGGATGTCATATAATAAATTTTGCTCATGTACTTTAATGTGAAATTTTAAAGATTTAACATAATTTTTTTATGCTTTTTTGAGATGGCCTATATATCTAGTGGTGAATGACGGTTATGTTCTATTGATTCTAAATTTTGTTTCTATTCCGTAATCTATGAAGTCCAACCATGATTTAAATCGTAGAATTTGTTGTTTATGACCTGTTTTTTTAAACCTTGTTCTATTTTATATTGTGATGTAATCATCAATCACCATTTATCTGTTTATTTATTTGCATGTGTGTCATTGAGTTGTTCTCTCAAGATATGATGAGCATTAGTGATTTCAATTTGTTTGGTCTTGTATAGATTGTTGAGAGGGTTGCTGAATTGTTCTTCTTATTCGACAGGTGTTAACAGTCTTTGCTGCAACATTGCTGGAGAAACAGATTGTGGTTGTTTGTTCAAATTTGGTATGGATTAAATATCATCGTAATAATGGTAATCTATTTTGAGTTGACTATGTTTTAACTACCGCTCTTTACTTTAAAACCGGATGATCGTGTTGCTATTATACATTCCTAACTTTAAAACAAGTGTATCTCCTTCCTCGTCCTTTGAGGCTAGTTGCATCCATTAGCTTGGAACTTTCTATAATTAGATTGTAGCTTGGAGTTCACATGGATTTGGGTTCAAGACGACATCTTAATTTTTTTTCCTGAGAGTTTCTGTTTGATGTTTATGACTTATATTATTATATTTGAATGATATGGATTATTTCGTGTATTTTTTTTTTCCTTAAGTGGTGATAATTAGAAATTTAGAACCTCTGGATTTATGTTAGATTTTAAAAATTTGCAGGGGGTCTTATCTGCTCTTGTTCTGTCAATTGTCCCTCTGATCCGTCCATTCCAATGGCAAAGCCTCTTGATGCCGGTATAATCTCTTAACAATCTTATCTGATATTTAGACTAGTCATATTTTTCTGTACTTACATTCAAAAGTTTGCAGGTTTTGCCAGATGATATGCTAGACTTTTTAGATGCGCCTGTTCCTTACATAGTAAGTTTTCAGAAAGAAAAAAAAGCCTTAATGTTGCATGCTTTATTTATTGCACTAGTGCTCAGTGCACAACGGGTCACCTAACTCTTTTAACTGAATCTACATACTTGGAAAAGACTTGGTTATTGTCATATATGAACTCATAAAGTCTCTTGGCTAAGGTTTCTCTCTAGTTATTACCTGGAAAGTAATAAGATCTCTCTGAATAAGTTATCTCCCCCATAAATTTGTTTTCAATGAAGTACTCGTCAATTAAATTTTACTCATCTCTAGGTTGGTGTAAAGAATAAAACCAGCGAAGTGCAGTCAAAGTTGGCCAATGTCATTCTGCTTGATGCTAATAGGAACCAGGTTTGCATCTTCTCTGATGTTTGCATTACAATATGGCATAATAATGTAATTTCATAATTTTCAGTTTAGATTCTATATTCTATATTTTTATTTTCAATATTATCTCCTTTGCTGCTAGAAGTGTTTATGTTTGACGAGTCCACTATACTTTCTTTGCATTTCCTTTCTCTCTTTTAAAAAAAATTATATTTGGGTAGTGTGCTTGCCAAATTATTGTTTGAATGGTTTGTTTTCTTTTTCTTTTATTTACCATTGTGTGTATTTAATATTATATTTTCCATTCTATTCTATTAAAAAATATGATAATTTTCATAGATCAGTTTGATTTTTCTCAGATCAAGAGGAAAAAGTTAGTCACACTGTAAAAGCCTGTTTTCTTGCTTAGCAAGCAGCAGACAAAATTCTAGTTTCCATTCCGCATTTGAAGAGGATATTTGTTCTTGAGAAATATTTTAGGTTAAGATCTGGGCACTTCTGTTCTGTTCTAATTTTCTCATTGCACGATGTGATAGATAAAGGCATCCACAATACCACAACTGCCACAGCATAAGGAGCTCTTTGCATGCTTAAGTCCTTATCATGCAAAGCTTGTTGGTGAAAGTTATTTGGGGAGGAAAAGACCAGTATACGAGTGCACAGATGTGCAGGTATGCCTTTTGTCACCCATTTCAGTTTTGGTTTTTCTAATCAATCTTAAATCCAAAAGACCTATTACTAACAACTTCACTTATGATGTATCATGAAAAATTATGCAATTCAAACATTCATGAGTGTGGTTAACTAATGTCTGAAATTTTGCAATACCAACTGTTCACAATTATATTGTGAGGTCTAACTAGAAATTATATTTTCTACCATCTTGAGGTGGACTAGACTACCACCATTTTTAATGGGGAAACACACTACCACCATTTCTGAAGTTTATAAAGTTGATCATGTCTCTTTATCGGTAAAATATCCATATGAACCATTGAATCATCTCCTGTTTGTTTCATTTTGGGTTTTGCATGATTGTTTGCTCAAAATCATCTAATGAAGTGCTGCTGCCATATTTCAGTGGTTTGCTAATTGTTGTCTTGATGATGTTAATGATTAGATTGAAGCTGCTAAAGGTTTTCTCTCGGTTTTAAGATCATACTTGGATTCGCTTTGCTCTAACATGCGTTCACACACAATTACAAATGTACAGTTGAACAATGATAAGGTTTGTGTTCCGTTGCATTCAGATATTTCAGCCAAGCAGCTTTCTTTAGGTGCTTTTTTGGTATATGGACAAACCTACTATGCTGTTTTACTGCTGTTGTCATACACTAATTTGTCAACTTTTTTAGGATTTTCTATCATAGATATTGCTGTTACCCGATCCAAATTACAAGTTTAATGTAAAAGTAATATTGATTGCATAGGAGGATGGAGTTGTATAATGCAGTATTATGTTTTATTGTGATACCTTGTATTGTTTGAAAACAAATGATAAAATCCTGAAGTTCTTCCATGTTCAGGTATCATTGCTTTTAAAAGAGAGTTTCATCGATTCATTCCCCAGTCGTGATCGACCATTTATGAAGGTGAGTCCCTCATTTCCCTTGACTAAATCTCTAGATATTTGCCTCAGCTCCTGATTTGAAAACAATTATAGTATATTGGACCTTGTTTCCATCTTCTTTCATTTCGTTCAGGATGATTATTTCCATATTCACTTTTTAAGGTGCTTATGTTAGCATGTTTGGAATATACATACTGACAGTTTCTCCCCCTCTCTCTCTCAGCTGTTTGTAGACACACAACTCTTCACTGTACATACAGATCTTGTTCTCTCATTTATCCAGAAGGAATAGGACAACAATCATCCAAAGAGGGCCTGCTATTCCAGTGTTGTAACTTGGACATAAGTTCAGAAATGATTGTATAATGTCAAAGTATGTTATCAATATCAGCCCCCCAAAAAGAATGTTATAGTTTTGTAAAAGTATATGTTTATTTTTCCTTGGACCCAATTCTCCCCTTGCCATTTTCTACTGGGCACCATGAAATTGAAAGATTATAACACTTCAATGAGATATTATCCTGAAATGGGATTTTGATCAAGTTGTAGCAGGAATAGTGGAAATTTAGCATATGCAGGTTAAGTCAAATCTAATGTTTTTATACCCTTTTCTTCAAGGACATGGTTATTGTTGGTTTCCCATTTTGCTTCGTCTCCTAAATACCAACAAAAGTGTCAATAAATTTCATGGAATTCTCGAAACTTACGATCGAGCTTGATTTAAACCATAATGCTAGCTCATGCAGTTCTAATAGGACCACCAGCAATTTCGTGCACAGAGATTCTTTTAAATTCCTTCTGTCAGTTCGAGAGAGTAAGACACGTGAATCTGCTTGAGCACAAGAAAAAAAGACGGTGAATGAGTTTGGGAGCAAAGGCTTTTGTTTTCTGCTGACCAAACTATTTTTTTGAAAAAAGGAACCATCTTTAAAGCAAGCAGCAGACTTGGTTTTAATGGTGCACAATCTAGTGTCGGCTCAATAATCTATCAAAGCCTTCTGGTTCGGTCATTGACTAACAATTCTGACGGGAGTGAAGCTCTTTTTTGTTAGTCTTGAAATGGTAATCAAGAGAGTCAAAATAGTCGATAATCTGAGCAGAAGTGTATTACTCTTTAACCTATTGAGACAGACCTTGTGCTGATACCGTTGTGTGATCTGATGGTAGGGCCATGGCTCCATGTGGCTCTCGTTCCGTAGACTCGATATAGAAAAGAGTCAGAGGAGTAAACGTGGGCAGAATTAATGGAGTTTGAACATTGATATTAATTAGTGGCAGATTTTTCAAGCTTTTGTAATCATAGAGGCAGAGAGTAATGAATGAGAATTGAGAAAACAAGCAAATTCTTGGCAAAGTGGGAAAAATGGCAATGCTATGGCCATAAAAACTTTGCTGAGATTACAAAGACATGAGTGACCACAATTTTTTCTTCTAAACTGTAAAAATGGTTACAGGTGTATCCTGTTGTTGACCCACATTGGACATTTGAGTCATGCAGTTGGAGCCCTTAAAGCTAAACCAGTGTGAGTGGTGGCTCCAGGATCATCAATGAAGGCCAATATTTCCCACTACCTCACTGAATCATATGATCCCAAAGATTTCAAAACCCAGTTATGCAATGCAAGTGGGTTCTACCAAACTCTGCTGAGGGAGAAGTACAGGGTCAGTTGATAAATGTATGCATTTAGTTGTATTATTCATAAGCCTCCAAAACCTCTTGTATCCAAGGAATACAATGGGGAAGTGCCGTACTTGTGGTCACGTGGGTAATCTAATGTCTTTTTAAAGGTGGTTTGCTTGTGTTTGAAGCTGACAGGGGAGATAAGGACAGCTCTGAACAGTGCCAAAGAACCCTTCACTTACTTTGTACCAACACCTGCCAAACTTATAAAACTACAACAGTGCGCGGGATTTAAATGCTAGTTCTCAGGGTTCCTTTATTTCCATTAATCCAGTCTCAAAATCTGTGATTCTCCAACTATTATCCCTTAAAAAAGTCCTCCAACTTCTTTCCCCTCACATGAATGCTTGATATCTTTCCATGCAATACAGTTGTCCTGAAACGACAAGGAGAAACAAAAGTATCACTGTTGAAAACAGTTGTGTCCATTTTAACCTCTTTTGGACCCTCCATTAGCTTGCTATTATTATTTTAGGACATAGGAGTGATAATGGAGAGTTGCCATAGAGCGATTAGCTGAAATAGTTATATAAATTATTATATCACCAGTTTTTCATTTAAAGAATATTAATCCTTGGGTTTAGCAATGCAATAAGTTGATTCTATCATCACCCTTCACTAATAAAATAGGCATTAATGGTTGAAAGTTAAGACAGTGCCTAACTGAGGTGGTTTGGTTTCTGCAGATTGCAGACTTTAGCTACTTTACAAGAGACAGACGAACCAAAACCATGTTCATCTCATTTGAGAATTAGGGAAAAACAACAAACACAACATGAATATATATTTATACTACATTGAGAAAAACAAAAGGTAAATAATCATAAAAAAAAGTGGTAAGAGTTAACCTGGTTAAGCCCTAAAAGTACCCTAGAATTAATCTTTTAAGTTTCCAGTTTCCCAAAGTTGAAAAAAGATTTGTGTAGTGAGTGGGGGAGAGTATACTGAGCGTCTGACGTAAAGGAACAGAAAAAAAGTAAAAGAGTTAGTAGCAGTAACAACCCAAAACCGTACTAACTTCTGATGAGGCATTTGGCCTTTAGAGTTTAGACACCAACACCAAGTGTTGTAGGTTAAAATAATACTAACAACAATAATGATCTCCTTTGTTTTTACAGTCTTTTTTAACCCACTAAACTTTAGTTTATGGGTTTCAGAAGTGTTGTCAGAAAGACAAGAGCTGCAACTGAGGAGCAGCTTAGCCTGCAGGACCAGAAAAAGCACCAGAGAGGGTTCAGTCATAATATGAGCCTCTGCTCTCTTCTCAGTTCTCTCCCTCAGGTGTCAGAGGGAAGAAAAAGAGAGAGAAAAGGTTGCTGGCATTGGCAGCATTAGTTTTTTTTTTATCCATGAACAGAAGATTCTGCAGTGAAATGGTCCCTGAAATAAATATACGTACTCTATATACACAGTCTACATCAGCTTTCAACAGCCCAGGCTTCTTAAGTAACAAGTAATGCACCCACCCAACAAACTTGCGCTTACAAAAAAACCAAACCGTTTCACTTTCAATCTTTCTCCTTCATGTTTGTTTCTCTTTCACTCGTCTGTTAGGTCTGAATAACTGCCCTTTTTCCCTCACCTTTCTTATTTATTAGCTTTGCTTAATTTCAACAAATTTGTCATTGTTCCTCTCTTTGAATGATGAGTGGAAGAAACAGGTTTCCTTTTACTGCATCTCAGTATCAAGAGCTTGAACACCAAGCTCTAATCTTCAAGTACATGGTCTCTGGCGTCCCCATACCACCTGATCTCCTCTTTACCATCAAGAGAAGCCGCTTGGATTCCTCACTTCCTTCAAGGCTTCTCTCTTACCAGCCTCAACATGGTAAAACCCCAGAGTTAACTCACTTTTTTTTACTTTTTCCATTTTGGGTTTTTGACAATGAGTTTCCTGTTGTTTTTTTGGCAGTTGGATGGAACTGTTTCCAGATGGGATTAGGGAGAAAAGTGGACCCAGAGCCGGGGAGGTGTAGGAGAACCGATGGAAAAAAATGGAGATGCTCGAAAGAAGCCTACCCCGATTCAAAGTACTGTGAGAGACACATGCATAGAGGCAAAAACCGTTCAAGAAAGCCTGTGGAAGTTAGTAGTAATACAACAATGGCAAACCCTTCAACAACAAACCACAACTTCTCGTCATCGATCACCAAGACTCGCCCTTCTTTTTCTTCTCTTTCTTCCATGTCCTTGTCTTCTGAGTCCCAACAGCACCACCATCAACTTCGCCACCATGGTTATCATTCTCAGGTCAATCATCCCTTTATGTATCCCCATGCATCGAGGCCTCCAGGGGTTGGCCTGTCACCTCAAGAGAACACCACCCATTCTCTTTTGGATTCTGGCTCGTACTCCCAGACAAACACAGATTACAGGTTCCATTACAAAAGAATCTTGGGATTTCTTTTTTACTGTACTTGTTTTCATTTACTGCTATTATTTTGCTAATGAGATTTGTTTCTTGTTTTTTTTTTTGTGAAGAAGGAACAGTTATGTGTATGGGCTGAAAGAAGAGGTGGATGAGCATGCTTTTTTCTCTGAGCATTCTGGTACAATGAGGAGCTTCTCTGGTTCTTCTGTGGATGATTCATGGCAATTTGCACCACTAAAGATGAGTTCTCCTTCCTTGAAGCAGAGGAGCTGCTCTGGGTTACAGAGTGAATACTCTTACTTGCAGCTTCAAAGCCTCACCGATCACAGCACAAAACAAAGCAAGCAGGACGATGATGAGCCTTGCTACATCAGATTTGAAATGCCTAATGAATTGGAGAAAGGAGAACCCCCAAAGACAGTCCATCGTTTCTTTGATGAATGGCCACCAAAACAAAGGGATTCATGTCTGGATTTGGATGATAAATCATCAAACAGCTCATCAGTTTCAACAACCAGGCTCTCAATATCCATCCCTTCAACCTCACATGACTTCCCCATTTTCAATTCAAGAGCTCATAATGGTATCTATTTTTTGGCTGGTTTTTGCACCTAGCCACACGTTTATTAATTTAAGACAATTAACTCCTTTCATATTTTAATTTGGTCTGAAAAACTCGAGATTTTTTTTGTTTTTGTTTCTGCAGATGGTTGAATATCCAGTAGTAGGTTTCTGCATTAGAGGACAGTGATGTACTTAGTGGGATCACTTCTGTGAATTCTGACTGTTTAGTAATCTTGCCTTTGTTTTTTTTTTTGGGTTAAATGAAAGTTGGGTTGTGTTTTCCCCCCTTATATTAATGAAGTATCCAATGACTTGTATGTTGCTGGTTTGATGTTATTTTCCTACTGCAAATATACAGTTCATAAACATTAAGACTGGAAACATGGCCTGCTGGTAGGTAGGGATGGACGAACATGATTTTATGGTAAGTGTGAATTTATAAAATTTTATGAGATGAAAATATATTTTTAATCGAAAATACAAAGAAAATATCTTATATGTCCGCCATCCTCCGTCCATCCATCCCTGCATGCAGGTAACATGTGGATGTGTTGTTCTGAGGGTTTTCATGTTGGCTTTAACTTGAAGGTTCAAGCAGGCACACTTAACCTGCTGCTTATTGTAATAATAAATAATAATAGTTGGGGTCCCCCTGGCCGATTGTTCTCCGGATTTGCTAATTTGTCGCTTTTCTGTACGCCTATGTATTGAAGTTTGGCAAAGCCAAGCGGAACCAAATGGTCCACTGAAGATACCAACACTTGTGCCATTGTTTTGGGAGAAAAACAAGATAATAATGTCTTAAAAACACCATTGGAATGCTCCATAAAAGCTTGGAATTAGTTCTCAAAAGGACTAATATTATACCATATCATCTTAAGTTGAGAGCTTTGGTTTAGGCTTTTGAGAAAACATTCCACTATTAAAAGTAGAAAGAAGCATCTTCCATTCCATGCAAATGTAGTTGCAGGTCACTTTTCACCATGTTCATCTTCATCTTTAGTGTTCCACTAAGCCCATTTTTGTTTCCATCTCTTTCTTTTATGTACTGTGCTCTGCCTGCTTTAGTGCACACCGGTATGTAACGTAATGTGCCTGTAAACACCGAAAGTTTCCCGCACAAACCACCTTTCAATTGGTATTTTAAACCAAAAGCAAATAAAGAAATCAAAAGGTTCATCACTGTTAAACAAAAAGCAGACTAAAGGCAGCTAGATTGGTCCATAAACTACATGTTTCATTGGAGGAGACAATGGTATTCAAGTCATAACCTTCAGCTTGGGTCGATCAATGAATAAAAGCAAAGAAGGTGAGGAAAATAAAAGAGAGGAGTAAGCCTGCAACAAGGTTGTGGTAGTTGGGTGGGCTGGCTTGGCTTTGCCCCATCAGTAGTCAGTTTTCTGCGACTGACGGGTACACTTTTTATCCTCCACGCACGCACGCACGTACTCAGTCTCTGCCTCTGTCTCACACTCCAAGTTCTTTTTCTTTTATGTCAGTCGGTCCCCCACATTTTTTTAATGGAAATACTCTGTCCAGAACGTTGAGCTTTCAAATATAAACTGAATAACTAAACCCCGAAAACAATATCTCTATCCTTAAAAAGGGGAAATTTTTATTAGTCTTTTTTAACATTTCTACAAATTTTAGTTTGGTCCCTTAAACAAAATTCAAACTTTTTTTAAAGGCATAATGTCAAAAAGTACTCTAAGATTTGTTAAAATAATCACTTTGACTCATATTTTTTAGAGTATTTAAGTCTCAACATTTTGTTTTGAGACAAAATGACCTCTAATTTGATGAAAATCATTTGTTGACTAACTATTAATCAACTAACGGATAAGAGTTAAAGAGATTATTTTATCAAACATTATATTTTCTTAAAAAAATATTATCTTATTCATTCCTTATTTCTCATACTTCTAATAAAATACAGTTTTTTAACATAGCTCCATGATAATATTTGCCATATTTTGAACAAAATAAAATTACATACACCTTACAAATAGTATCGAATGATGGCACTACAGTTACGTGGTGGGGTGATTAATATAGAGGGCCTTTTAGGCCTACGTTAGTGACCTATTTTTGTTGTTGTGAAGATTACAGTTATAAAGATATAGACTTTGCTCCACGTTCCAAGGTATTGTTGTTTTTCACTTTTCCCCCTCCTAAATTGCATCTCTTTGTTCGTTCAATTCAAATCCATGCTTTTTGTTTGATCCTTAACCAGATAAATAGTATCATAGGCAAGTAATCATTCCATTTATTGTTTGAAAGGCTTCTTTGAATTGTCATCATCAATGGAACAAAAACAAACTACCAAAACCAATGCCCCCAGGAAGGTTTGTTACCCACACCTTTAACTTATCATCTATATATGGTTGAACTTCAGCAGTCGATCATTTTTTCTAAGAATTTCTCTCTTTTTGGGTTTCTGTGGGTATTCTATTGCAGATGAAATTTGCACCAAAAGCTCCTACTCGCCGAGCACCGAAGCTTGAGGTTAAAACGTATATATCATTTGGCACTTGGAATTGTAATGCAAGTCGTCTGTTTCATTGCTTTGAGACCGACTTATTAATCTGCATGCTTTGTGGTTGTTTTCGGGTGGGTTTCAGTGAATCGGCGGAAGACACTGATGCTGCTCAGGCCAGGGATTTGCTAGAGCGTTTAAATGTACATGAGTTTCCAATTTATTATTGCCATTTTCCTTCATGCCATTGGTTTCCCTGTTATGTTATTCTCATTTCATCTTTTTTCATTATTTCCTCACAGCAAATTTCTGCAAAGACAAAGCCTAAATTTGAAAGGAAAGGTATATTCTTTATCTATTATTTCATAGTGCAAGGACTTCTTTCACGCATTGTTTTGCTTGCTTTATTGTTCGTCATTATTCTTTCCTATTATGTGCTCAGAATCTCGTGTAATCAACGCCTTAAACAGGCCTCGAATTAATGAAAATATCTCTACTGTTACAATTGCATTTGGACTTAAACCCAGGTTTATGAGTTACTTTAATATGCCTGGTACTTGTGATTGCAAGTTGTATTAAAAGACCTGGAATTTAAAAACTTTACATGCACTCCCTATAAGTTGAAAACACTACTGTTTTCTGCAACCCAAATGCGAGTTCTTAATACGCTTTTCTTGACATGCAGCTGCATCTTCACAAGTTGCATTTGGTTTTGGAGCGGCATCAGCATCATCTTCGATGAAAATATTTGGTGGAATTTCCAAAGGTTCAAGTCGCAGTAGAGTGGAAACATTCAATGCCATATATATTATCCTTATATGCTGTTTCGCTAGTGATTGAGATTCATTTCAGTCTGATATGTAGTGTCGATGTTTCTATAGGTAAAGTTCCTACATCAGGATTGAGAGAGGAGAAAGAATACAAAGAACCATGGGTGTGTATGTAAACTTTGGATTATTTATTCAAGCCATGATGACCCGTTTTCTAATTCTCCATTGATCCTTGATTGTAAGGTATATTTAGTTTTTGGTTTTCCTTTATTTGGATGTTTCTGCAGGATTATTACAGTTATTATCCTCTAACTCTTCCTATGAGGAGACCATATTCAGGAAATCCAGGTTTGTGGTTAGTTTCGCTTAAAGCTAAAGGATAGGGCATTGTAGTACAGACAGTAACACAACCATTTTGGAACGAACCGGGCATTGTCGTTCACATAACTTGTTAATATATTATGTTGAATTTACAATTGCAGAGTTTCTTGATGAGGAGGAGTTTGCTTCAGCGAATATAGCTTTCGATGAAAGTTCAGTCGAGCCAGCCGTAGATCTTGGTCTACTGGTTAGTTGCTTAGAAACTGAATCAAACATTACATTCTGCCTGGTTTCTTTATGCTGACACTCGCTGATGATCGGCTACCAGGAGGAGAATCCAGAAGCAACTATGTTCTTTATGCAGTTACCACCAACTTTACCTATGACAAAGCAAACAGGAAACACATCTGGCAAGAGATCAATACCAGTTCAAAGCCAGCTGTGAGTGTAGGTTCTGGAAAGAAGACATGTGGCTTAGAAGAGATACCTGCAGGTCTCATGGGTAAAATGCTAGTCTACAAAAGTGGTGCTGTCAAGTTAAAGTTGGGGATACCTTTATGACGTGAGCAACTCAACATTGTGAAAACCTTGTCATGATTCCCTGAGACCCTGACTTTTTTTAGGAGTTTCGGATTACTCGATGATAAACATTTGGTGGTTATGATTCTGAACTTTTCTCTCTCCATTTGATGCAGGTTACTCCAGGTTCGAATTGCGGATTTTCCCAAGATGTTGTAGCTGTAAATACTGCAGAGAAGCATTGTTGTGTTGTTGGGGAGCTTGAGAAGCGTGCTGTTTTAAGCCCGGATATAAATTCTGTCTTGGATAAATTGGATGATCTTTGATGGCTTTTGCTTGTTCAGGTTTGGTTAGTAGTTTATTCAAGAAGGAATTTAAAAATAAAATTGTTCTGAAAACATGAGTACTCAGTGAAGGTTAGAGGTTCAAATTCAACTCGATTACCAATGTAAATGAACTACTGAATCAGTCAGTTTGCCACAAAATTATCAGTTATCTAGAAATTCGAAACTGTTCAGCTTGTGAATCTTTCTTGTTAATACAATACAATGCAATACAAACAGAGGTAATTCTTTCTCCCTTCCAAACTCAACTTTATTTCCAAAATGCAAATCCACCATAGTCTCATAAATCCTAGCTTGCCACAGATTTGGTGCATAACATTATTTGTGCTCCATGCTGTGGTTGAAGAGTCATGACAGTGTATGGGAGTGGGATGGTGAGGGCTTGAATGAGAAATGTTTTAGAATCATAGCCAAAGGGGTATACCTTAGCTTCATTCATGGCTGGCCAAATGTGAAAAAATGGCAGTTGATCTTTCGATGCCCTTCGAAACACCTTCAGAAAATCACTCAGGTTTGAATTCTTCAGAATGGTCACCCCAAAGTAGATGATCATGATTTCTTTAACCTTGGTGTCTTTGTTAGTATTACTGATATAGAGCTATAACAGATGGATACAGTCTCATGAGTTCTTCAATTCAATCATTGTTAACCTACAAGAAAATTTACATCATTCAATATTTGTTCAGAAGAAAAAGCCTACATATTTGTGGTTCATTATCATTGCTTCATCAGTGGAATACTCGCAATCTTAAGGTAGAACTGTTTACATTCCTCTATTATATCTTTAATTTCCATCCCTCCTTCCGCTCCATTTTGTGTTTTCTAGCAACACATACCAAGCAAATCATCGGCCCTCTCTTGTCCCGTCTTCATTCTATGCTCTTTTCTTTCCTCAGGATTACATTTCTTAGTTCAATTTCTTTCTCCTTTGATTCCTTTTTTGTAGGAATATCACATGATCGTTACAATTTTTCGTCAACAACTACCAAGATACATAAGATTTTCTTCCCTTCTTCATAGCCCGCTTCCAAAAGCTGTCCTGGAAATAGCATCAGCAGTAAGCTTCTGAACTTCAGGCCAGATATCAATCTCACAACTTGATTGCAAAGTAGCCATTTCCTTCCACTGCTCTATCAGCTGAAAGGACAATTCAATAACAATGAGAAACCCAACTGAATATTCAAGTAATTGAGCTGACGTTTGTTTAAAAACAAGAAAAGTGTTGAACCTTGAGCTTCTCAAGTTGAAACTCAGGGTTGATCATCCTTCAACGCATTTTACTTGGATGAGAGAAAAGTACTTTCCTCGGTTCTTTACTAATCTGTTAGGTATTAAGCAATTATGTAACTTTGATTCTAATGTGAGTATTGAAAATAAATACAAACAAGGATTATTAAATGATTGTATATTCACACCTTTATTTAATTATATATCAGACATGATTGTCAGGTATTAATAATTATAAATATCTGATACGAAAATATTTAATTTTATTAAATAATATTTAAAAATTATATCTACATTGAACACAACAAATTCATATACGGATATTATATGTACATATATCTAGAAAAATAAGTTCGTACACAAATATCATTTGTTTGTTTGCCGTCTTTTTCAAGATCTATTTGCGTACATTGCTCTGGATAACAAGACAAGACATGCTAAGGTGATGTTTATTTTTACAGAGGTAAAATGTCTGCAGTCTGCGGATCACATCTGCAGGCATCTGCAGCAGAAGAGGTGGACCAAAAGTCTGCAGTCTGCAAGAAGAAAAATGTTTGTTTTTTAACGTCTGCAGACTGCTAAAATGAACTGAAATACAAATAAACTGATTTTTTAAATTTAAAAGAGTTTTGCAATACTGAGATTTAAATAATTTTAGTTCTACAATACTGAAATTTAAATAATCCATACAACTACAATAATAAATTATTTAAAATAAATCAATTCATATTTTAAAATAAATCAATTCATACTAATATATTATTTAAAATAAATCAATCAATCCAATACTATAATAAATTATTTAAAATAAATCAATCCATACTAATAATTATTTAAAATAAATCAATCCATATTTTAAAATAAATCAATCCATACTAATAAATTATTTAAAATAAATCAATCCATACAACAACAATAATAAATCAATCCATATTTTAAAATAAATCAATCCATACAAATAAATTATTTAAAATAAATCAATCCATACTAATAAATTATTTAAAATAAATCAATCCATACAACTACAATAATAAATCAATCCATATTTTAAAATAAATCAATCCATACTAATAAATTATTTAAAATAAATCAATCCATATTTTAAAATAAATCAATCCATACTAATAAATTATTTAAAATAAATTATTTTAAAATAATTAAAATAAATTATTTTATAATAAATTATTTTAAAATAAATTATTTTAAAATAAATAACCTTATTAAATTATTTAAAATTATTTTAATAAATAACTATATTTTATAATTGTTCTTGAAGATGTTTGAAGACCTTTGAAGACATAAAACCAAGTCTGCACCAAGAAGAGCTCGCGCAGACGTTTGAAGAGCTTCTGTCTTCTAAAAACAAACAGTCTGCAAAACCTAATGTCTGCGCGTGGTCTGCGCGACGCAGACATAAGTGGTTTGAAGAGGTTGCATAGTGAAAACAAACACCATCTAAATTATATGCGTGATCAAGTTGTCAAAGTCTGGATATTTTATAGGGTAAACTGCATGTTTAATATCTCAGCTATTATTTTTGTTCCATTTTGGTTACTTAATTTTTTTTAAATCATACTTAATGTTTATTTTTTGTTTCATTTTAGTCATCGTTAAAAAATTAACAATGATGTTGATGTGTCACTATAAGATAATGTTCGTTGTTATTGAAAAAATATAAAAAAAAATAATGTCATCGGTTCTGTTAATTTTTTAATGATGGATGACTAAATTGAAACCAAAATATAATATTAAATATGATTTAAAAAAATAGTTATATGATTAAAAGTAAATAGAAGTGATAGTAAAGATACTAAACGTGTAATTTACCGTATTTTATAAGAGGAAAGAATAGAAGTCCAGAAGAATCTTGAAGTAGCAACAGGCCTTAGCCCAAACATTAATTCATGGATCACGTCGTATTTGATCTCAATCTAAATGATTTTTTAAGAAAAATTATCTCATTAGCCACTTAAATTTTAATCTGTGCATTAAATTGGTCATCAAAATTTCAAATATTTTAATCTTAATGCTAAATTTTCAGCATTAATTTCTTTTTTTTCTTTGGCCTAGAAAGTGTGATAATTTGGTGTTGATATAGAAGTAAATAATAATAACTGATTATTTCATTTCATCATCGTCTTCTTCAAAAATCAATGTTCTCTTATATCTTTTACGATTAATTTAGATAATATTTTCTATCATTTTATTAATTTAGATTTTCTCAAACCTTTTTATAACTCACATAATTATACAAACAGAAAATCTCTCATTTTTGGGTACGTAGGCTACTTAAATTCAATCTGTCTCATAATTATTATTCAATGTTTGCACATTGTTCCAAAAGCTTGCATTATTCAAGAAACAAGATTTTCTTTGCAGCTAACAATCTATGGGGACGATGTTCGCACCACATAATCAACAACAATGACACCATCCAAATTGTCCTTAACCTTTTGCTTCTGTAGGTTCACGTACTCTTCCTTTCCCACTGCTGCCTCTATTTCTTCAACCCCAGTAAAAACAGCGACCGAGGCGAGCGAAAAGCCCTTAGCTCTGGCCGAGAAATTCTCCCCGCAAGTTAACTGTTGAACACCAGAGATCCCCTCCTTGATCCCTTTAATTTCCCCAAGAATCTCACCCTGCAGTTCATTCGGAACGTTCTCTTTGAGTTTCAAGAAGGTAACTTTGATGGCAGAACCGGAGGGCGGGGACAGCGGGGTGGGATCATTATCAGCAACCCAATCAACAGCCATGATATCATCACAGATGGGAACGACATTTTCCTTGACTACACGCTGGTGATCGGGATGAACAGCATATGCATTCAAATCTTCTTTGGACTTGTATCGGCTATGGAGCATGTGCGTGAAGTTGGAGATCGGAGATTTAGTGCGAAGGACGGGACCAGCAGTGAGGTGCACGACAGGATCGAGAGAGACCAAGCCATTGAGGTTGTTAAGCATCAAGTTGACCTTTCCCTGGTCTGTGTCACCTTTAACTTTGAAAAGAACCGCATGCTCAACGATGGGCACGGTTTTTGTGGACGAAGTGACGGGTCTTTTCAGGTGTTTGAGAGAAGGAAAAGAGAGGGCGAGCTTTCAAAAATTGCATTAGAATCAACAAGTGGTGGACTAATGGTTGGACTAAAACTAATAGAACGTCAATGTACCTGCAAAATTGAGATCATATTGGACGGATTTCCATTAAAAATGTAGCTCAAAACTTACAATCAATCACAATTTCAACAACTCAAGAATTCAAACAAACCCTTATAAATTGTTAGAATCTAATAGCAACATGAACATTAGTCTACCAAATTCGCAAGTGCTAAGCACCCATTTCGGAGAACTGCCCTATACAATAAAATAATATCTACCCCCAACAAAAATAAATATCAATCGCCGAAGCTCAAACCCCGTATTTGAAAATGCATAAAAAGCAGAGACTAATAATCAAATCCCAGTCGATGCAACCAAAACAATTCTACCGAGTTTTCTTTATCCACTTAATCAAAAAGAAAACTGAAGACAGATTTGTAAGAAACTGAAAGCATATACCGATCAGAAAGCATAAAACATAAACAGATATACAGTTTGAGAATAGAAAAGAACTGAGCTAGTTGACTATCACTGACTGACCTGACAGAAACTATTGCGGCTCTACCAAACTTTGTGATGGAATTGAAACTTAGGAGATTGGGGTCTTTGTTTCGTTCGCCAACGTAGGAGAAGAGAACGTGCGCAGTAACACGTTATGTGGGCCGACATATGACTCGGTTGATGGCCGGGCTTATGGGCTGAATAGGATACTATTTATTCTGGATCTTTTAGCTTGGAAATCAAGTGTTCCGTTGGTCCCCAAACTTAACGATACGATGAACAAGTGACCACTGTTTACGTTCCTGGGCTCTGCCAGGACCCCTGCTGGCTCATAGGTCGCGTATTGTTTAGAGTTTGCATAAGTCCCTCAAACCTGTCTTTGCAGGGGCGGATGTATGTTGCTCCTATGGAGAATAATTGTATATCTTTTATTTAAGAAAATATTAAATTTAATTTAGTATGATAAGAAGAATGAAAATAATTTAGTATGATAATAATAATTTAGTCATTGGAGATCATCAATAGGAAAAGATTCATAGTGTTAACATGACATGCACACAGTATACGTACAACACGAGCTTACTTTTAGATTTTGTCTGGTGGGACATAAATTTATATGGACCGTATTTGGATTGACTAGGTCCATTTCCTCGTTGTCTCCTTTTTATTAGTAAAGGTAGATTATGATTATGATCCCTTTAAATTTGTATTGTACTTACAATAAAATAATATATTTTTAAAATATGATATATATATATATGCAACTTAGCGGGATGACGTCACCTTTTTAATATTTATTTCCATACAATGAATGAGTCCCCATGTGGGAACCCACTCGCAGTCAATTGCATGCTTGTCCCTTCACTCTAGTTCATTCATTCACCCCGGTTCTCTACAATTTCTCAATTTTTTCCATTATTAATGCTACTATACCTATTTATTATTATTATTTTAATGTTATTGTATCTACTTTCTATATACCGAATGAATCCGAGTCCATAGAATAATGCTAATTATTAGTAAAATTAGTGTAAGGACTGTTCTATATTAAACAAAATAAAACCGGTATGGTTTAAAGATGGGAATTAACAATAAGAGGAATGGGCAGCGGATGGATTATTACTTTAATAGTGGGAACAGAAATTACAGCTAATCATTAAAGGCATTGGGGTTGCAAATAATGGGAAAACAAAAGGGTTTTCTTAAAAATGTATTAGTAAAAAAATATTCGATTATTAATTAAAAATGTTATATTTGATGCATGATTTCTAATAAATTGAAAAGAATATATTTCATGTGTTATTTTCCCTTTTAATATTACTTTAATAATGTTGTTTGGCATTGTTCTAAAAAATGTTATTAGGTACTAATTAGTAAGTCAAAGGGATTCTAAATCACCGCATAAAAAGGTCGGTCATTGGCTCATTGCCATTGCCATTGCCATTGCCATTGCCATTTGCCATTTGGATGCTGTGCTATTAGCTGCCAGCGGCCTGCAAATGTCGCGCCGAACGTTTACCATTAATTAATTTTGTAAATAAATGAATATTCAGTTTGAATTCAGAAAGAAGGAAGTAAAAGATTTAGATTCAAATTTAAATAAATTAGTTTTATAAAAAAACATTTCACATGAGTTTTAATAGTATCACAAAAAACTTTGAATGATTGTTATTAACTCAAAAATTATCTGAAACTAAATAAATATATTAATTATAAAAAAAATTATGACCATTTTTGACACAAAAGGACTCAGTCTCGAATGGCTTTATTTTGTTTTTGTTCTTTTTATAGAGGGAAAAGAAACATGATGTCCAAATAAAATCATTGACTAAATTTTGTCTTTATGTTTTGAAATTAGTCCTAAATCGTTTCATTAATGTTTCATTATTAGTACGAATTAATTGATTTTAATGGTTAAAGAGAATGATTATTTTGAGAGGTTTTATGTTCGAGCACGACGCTTGAACGTTTATTATCAAATGATGAGAGTCTTTCAAATAGTTATTACATTGCAATCCATCCCAACTTAATAAAAAAATGTTTTATGATTAAATAATTGTTCTATTATTTTATATGAATTTTTTTAATTAATAATTTGAAAGAAAAAAATAATTAATTAAATATTTTAATTGGATATTTTTAATATTAATTATTGTCGTATTGATTTGATAATCAATTTTATTGACAAATAAGCTGTACAAATAATAATGTAATAAGAAATTAATTGATTTGAGTTCATTAAATAAACAGATAACTTGTTAAACTTTAGATAAATAATAAAATAATAGAACCCATTTTAAAAAAATATATTTAGACTAATTAAACCATAGATTTCTTTCTCCAATTTGTATTCGCATCAAATTACATAATTTCTAATTTTATATAATTCGATTGTCATTTTTTTCTTTCTGATTCCAACTATTTCAAATTTATATCACAACAAGAAACTGAATTATAATATTCAATTATCGTTCTCAATATATTTTTAAATAAAGGAATGAAGAAGAGAGAGAGAGAGAGAGAAATGAAAGTGCGTCGTCCGTATAATACTGAATACTGATTGAGGCGCAAAAACACAAGCGTCGGACTTCGCGCCCCCTATTTTTACAGATATTTCTGTTTGTATATTTGTTTATCTTCCTCCTCGCGTGATTGAGCTGTGGGACCCAGGTAGCGGCCTACCAGGTCAAGGAATCATTTGGCTCGGTAATCTGGGCAGCCTCGCGTCCGAACCTCTAGATCTCCCGAGCCTCACTTGACACGCGGTAATCTTCCATTCGTTTCCAACAGTCGTGTATGTTTTTGCTTCGTTTTCAGGTTGTTTCCGTGAAGAGTAATTCCAAATTCTTTTTGTCCCTTGCTTGTTAAAGAAAATAATATAAGTCACTAAAAATATCTTATAATATATAATTTTAATTAATTTTTATTAGATTTATCAAAATGATCAATTAAATTGTAATACGATCGATAATTCACAACGTGATCTCCGGTATCGCAAATCAGTTTCCAGATTCGTAACGCGAACTTCGACTATCGCATTGCGATAGTCCAAGTTCGCGTTACGATTTTCCAAATTCGCGTTGCGATTTATTCAAAGTTCGTTGCGTTGCGATTTATTCCAAGTTCGTTGCGTTGCAATTTATTCTAAGTTCGTTGAGATAGTCCAAAATCGCAAAGCCTGGTAGTATTGCATTTGTTTCTTAAGAATTTTTTCTAAAAAGATAGTATTCGCGCGGACGTGTCGAAGACACGTATTACCACGACCACGAGACGGACGGCGGCGGCGGCGGAACGCGCGAGTCCCCCTTGTTCTCTATCACTCAACAAGGAAGTGGGAAATCCAAGCCTTAAATACCATTCCCAATAGTCTTTCCAATACTATGTGATATTGAGCATTACCAACATTTGTTCCCAATACTATGTGGGATTGAGCCTTAAATAGTGATATTATTTTTGAATTATAGTTAATGACTTTAGTATTTGTATGAAAAGTATTTGTGGTTCGTTTAGTTGTCATGCAATTCTAATTTATTTTCAATTGATTGTAATTGCACGATAACAATTTTTTTTATTCTCGCGAGTGATGTAAATTTTTTTTGAATGTTTTGCTTAAAATTACAATAATCGCGATTGATTGTAGATTGACTTTTAATTATGACATATTTAATCGTATAATACTAATGCAATTGGTTGCTGATTCAGTTGTTTTAAGGTGCATGATTGTTAATTGTTTCCTGAATAATCACATAGTATTGGAAACAAGTGTTGGTAATGTTCAATCCCATATAGTATCAGAAACACTATTGAAAATGATATTTAAGGCTTGACTTTCCCACTTCCTTTTTGAGTGATAGAGAACAAGGGGGACTCTCGCGTGCCGCCACCGTCGTCGCCGCCGTCTCGTCTCGTCTCGGGTCGTGGTAATACGTGTCTTCGACACGTCTGCGCGAATACTATCTTTTTAGAGAAAATTCTTAAGAAACAAATGCAATACCACCAGTCGTTGCGATTTTGGACTATCGCACTGAATTTGGAATAAATTGCAACGCGAACTTGGACTATCGCAATGCGAATATGTAAATCGCAATGCGATAGTCGAAGTTCGCGTTGCGAATCTGGAAACTAATTTGCGATACCGGAGATCGCGTTGCGAATTATCGATCGCATTGCGATTTAGTTGGTCATTTTGACAAATCCAAAAAAAATTGATTAAAATTATATATTATAAGACATTTTTTATCACTGAAATTATTTTCTCTATGTATTACGGTATAAAAATTACCACAGACTTTTTTCTCTCTCTCCAAGTACATAAAATAATTTTGATTATTATTACTATTTCATATTATACATGCTTCAGTCGAATATATAACACAAAAGTGCAATTAAATGTTGATAATATTATTTAATAGTTTATAATTATCAAAATAATTGTTAAATTAACAATTCAAGAATTATTTGTTATTATAAACTAACATTGATTAATTTAATTTGTTAAATATTTATTAATATTCATGTAAACATTAAAATTCAAGTTTCACTAATAATTTCAGTGTGCGTATTATATAATTATATTTTCACAATTTATGTATATTTTTAAAATAATACCAAAATAATAAACAGAGTTGTTTAAGATATCTTGGGTTGTGGGACCGTTTCAATTCAAAATGGTAATTTTCCATTATAATTTAAATGCCACGTGGGAAATAAGGAACACCAGCTCGAATAACAATAAATAAAATAAAATAAATAAAAAGGAAACAGGTGGTCATATATATATATATCTATTGAGAATTATAGAGCTATCTGTAATATTTAGAAAAACCAAAGGGGTCTGACCGTCTGAGAGCGTGACTGTCAAATCTCCATCTTCTCTCCAACTTCTCTCTCTCTCTCTCTCAATTCAGATTTTTTTGGTTCTTAAGTTTCGGTTTAATCGACGGTCTTTTCCCACTGTTTTCCAGGAACCCCTTGTATTCCGGGTTTTTACATTCCGGGTTTTTACATAACTGATACCGTTTGATTTTAATTTTACTTTTCTGACATCATTTGACCAATATTTTCAGAACTAGCACCCTTTCTGTTGAGTTGGCAAAGGCGCGTCCCCGGGGCGCGCTTTACCCGTGTTTTTCGCTGAGTTGGATGCCACGTGTGAAAGGCGCGTCCCCGGGGACGCGTCTTTGCCAACTCAGCAGACACGTATTTTGTTTTATAATAAATAGTTTATTTTTATTATTATTATAAATTAATAATATATTATGTAAAATGTTTCGATTATAATGTAAGAATTATCAAGTTTCGAGTATTTTTTATTTTGATTATCTATCTATTAATTTTATCAGTTAATTATTTAAATGTTATCAATCTAGTCATCTCATATCAATATTTAACGAAAATATTAATGCATAAGTTAATAAATTAGTATAGTTACATATTTAATCTTCAAGACTTACATATTTTATAAAATTAGTCTTATTGAAAATTTAATTTAATAAATTTAATCCTCCAATCAGAACATGAAATGTGTCATCGTATACATAAATTTTTTAATAACTTTTAATTTGTTTAATTTAATATTTTTCTCTACTTAGAAGGTGGAATTATTATTATATTTTAAAAAAAATTATAACTAATAATATTAAATATTATATTAAATAATTATATTAAATATATTTATGTATTTAAAAGTTAAAAAAAATTATTTAGGTGTACATACATTGACAAATTATATAAATGCAATAACATTAAATTATTAGAAATAAAAACATTCATTTAAAAACTTTAATTACATAAGAGTTAACGGTTATATGATGATAACAGAGCTGGACATTTTTTTCTATTGTGCCCGATGTTTCTACAATGTCCACATCGTTTTTGTTCTGTTGACTTCTCCCGAATATCCATATCACAATGTATTCTAGTAGATTTTGGACGACCTGAGTCCCTCAATAGCAATGGATCTGATACAATTGTAAGCCAAGTTTGAATCTCATTTGGGTCTCTTTCGTTTCCTATGGGCGGAAACTCAAATTCATATACCTTGAAAACTTGTGAAAGTTGGTATACGGGATCAACATAATTTTTGTAGTCCAAATGAGAATGTGAGCAAGCATCAATGACATGAGAGCATGGATATTTGAGTGCTTGAAAGAAACCACAATCGCACCACCTCTCTTATGCCCGATCGTGAATGAACCATACGTATGGTTCATTCACGATCGGGCATAAGAAAGGCATGCGGAACCACGCCCATGATTGTAGAAGCAGAAGACATCCACCGATAGCAGTTTTCTTATAATTCGTCGCCCGACACATTTCTCTAAAGAGAAATGCCAAAACTGCAGCACCCCAACTATATCTTCCAGCTTCATCAAAATCGATCAGATGCCGCAACCACATACAATGCACCTGGTTGCGAGATTTGTCGGGCATCAATATTCCTCCAATTATTCGTAGAATATATGCCCGAGCACATGCCTTTGCTTGATCCTCTGAAGCATTTTCATTTAAAACCTCAAAATTAACTTTCAACCAAGATAAAGCTATTCTACCTCCATTAAACTCTGGCGGAGCAGCTCCAAGATAATCAATGCACATTGATTGCCAATCACCATCCGCCATACCACACATCATATTTCCGTCGACGGGAAGCCCCAGATGCATAGAGACATCCTCCAATGTAATTGTTGTCTCTCCACATGGAAGGTGAAAAGTGTGTGTCTCGGGCATCCACCTCTTAATCAGTGCAGAAATTAGGACAGGTTCGAGTTTGCAACCGCCTATAATTGTTGCAATATACCCGAACCAGCAGAAGCCAAATATGGCAAAATACGTTCCGGTGTCGGTATACGTGGATTTTTAATAAAAGTTTCTAAAATACGATCAGCATCCTAAATATATATATTATAAAAAGTAAAAATTAATATAAATTCATAATAACTTTAAAATAAAATAAATTTAAATATTAACATTAATTATAAAAAATATTACCATATCGCTAAAATGTCTGGAGATATGATCAATATCCAATCGCAACAGCATTTCGTTTTCCATTATAACTGTAGACAAAACAATATAATTAGCAAAAAATTAATAATTCTAAATAAATAATAATTATATAAATATTATTTTAATAAAAAAATAATATTTACATAATATATTAATATAAAAAATAATAACTATTTAAAAAATACTAACATAAAAATAAATTTCTTACCACTAATAACAAATTTAAAACTCAAATAGTCGGAGAATTTGAGTTATATAGAGAGGAGAAGATGATTTTGGTGTGAAGAATGAGTGAGTGTTGAGGGGGTTTATATAGGGGAGGAGGAGGGGTAGTTAGGAAAAACGGATGGGGGCATTTATGACATTTAATGGAAGGCGCGTCCCCGGGATGCGCCTTCCACACGTGTCTGCTGATATGGCAAAGGCGCGTCCCCGGGGACGCGCCTTTCACACGTGGCATCCAACTCAGCGAAAACACTGGTAAAGCGCGTCCCCGGGACGCGCCTTTGCCAACTCAGCAGAAAGGGTGCTAGTTTTGGAAATATTGGTCGAACGGTGTTAGAAAAATAAAATTAAAAACAAACGGTGTCAGTTATGTAATTTAGCCATATTCCTTCTTTCAATCTTTGTCTCCTTCACTTGAATATAATGCTCCAGATTTTCAAGGTACGTATTTAATTGAAATAATTTTTGTATGTTCGTCATGTATATGAATGAATTGTGAAGATATGTACAGATAATCTTTGTTTTTTCTTCTCTCCGTCTCTGTTTCCTTTGTGCATTCAATTTAATGAGTTTCTTCTCCTGTAGCTGATGGGTTTTCTTTCTTAAAAGGCTTGGGATCTTATCGGCTTCTTGGTTTTGTTTCATCTTATTTTGGGGGACTGAAAATCTGGGAACTTCGGAGATTTTATGAGTTTCCTTTTTTATTTATGCCAAATGAGTGATGGGGGTTTTATGCTTATGTAACTTAAAGTACGTTTTTTTTTGGTATTGGAATTCCCAATTCAAGGTCATTGCTTTGGTTCAAGTACCCCCCCCCCCACACTTTTTCTCCCCAGAATTTGAATAGAAGTTCATTTTTCTGTGTTGAATGTAATTTAATTTTAAAAACATTTTTGTTTGTTTATTGCAATTTCAGATTTTCATTTTTGATGTAAAAAGATTAATGAAGTGGATTGAAGCTTGTTTTAGAGAAGCTAAATACTCCATTTCTTTTAATGGAAGCTTGATAGGATACTTTAAAGGTCAGAGAGGTATTATTATACAAGGTGATCCATTATCACCAATTTTATTTGTGATAGCAATGAGCATTCTTTCCAATTTACTAAACATTGCTGCTGCTAAAGGATTATTTGGGTACCATCCTAAATGTAAAACAATTAGCATTACCCATTTATCTTTTTGCAGATGACCTTCTTATATTTTGTAAAGGCAATCTGGAATCTATTGTTGGAATCATGACTGTGCTAAATCACTTTTATGATTTGTCTGACCTAAAGCTTAATGTTAGCAAAACTGAACTTTATTCTGTTGGTATCTCTGCTAGAAATCTGGATATTATTAAATCTGCTACTGGGTTCAAGCATGGTTTTCTACCTGTTAGATATCTTGGAGTTCCACTTGTCACTAAGAAATTATCTGAAAAAGACTGTTTGCCTCTTATTGACAACATTAAGCATAGGCATCATAATTGGGCTGGAAAATTCTTGAGCTATGCTGGTAGACTCGAGCTTATTAAAACTGTTTTATACAGTGTTGTCAACTTCTGGAGTAGGCAATTTATCCTTCCCCAGAAAGTTGTTAAACGTCTTGAACAACTATGCTCTAGGTTTCTTTGGAAAGGTTCTGATATAGCAGCTTCTGGTGCAAGGATAAGTTGGGACAAAATCTACTACCCCAAATCTGAAGGTGGACTAGGGTTAAAAAATATTAGCTCTTGGAACAAAACTTGCATGGTTCACCTTATCCGGAAATTACTTGCTGGTCAGGGATCTCTTTGGATAGCATGGGTTCACTGTTATGTCATTAAAAGTAAAAGCTTCGCTGAAATCAATGAATGTCCATCATATAGTTGGTGTTTTAAGAAACTTATCAGACTAAGGAGTGAAGCTTTGCCCATTATTAATTATGGTTTAACGAGGACAAGAAATTTATGGGAGGAACTGAGAGTTCACAAAACTAAGGTTCCTTGGCACAAAATAGTTTGGTTCCCACTCCACATACCTAAACTCAGTCCAACTCGGGATAGGCTTACTAAAATGGGGATTGCTTCTGATGAGTTATGTGTTTTATGTAATGAATTTCCAGAAAACAGGAACCATCTGTTTGTGCACTGTACTTATGCTACTTCACTGTGGAACACTATTTTGCGTCTTACTTCTTTGAGTAACAATCACAGTACTTGGGAATCTAGGATTACTTGGGCTATTCTGGAATGGAAGGGTAAATCCCTTCTTATCATCATTTTGAAATTAGCATGGACTGCTTTTATCTATTCAGTTTGGGAAGAAAGGAACAGAAGAATTTTCAGAGGAGAGTCGAGAACGATTGATCAAGTTATTAGGGTTATTAAAGACTTTGTCCGAATCAAACTTAGTGACAGGAATCTTAATAGAACTGATGGAGTTAATATTAACCTTTGTAATTACTGGGGTATAGACTAACATTTTTGTTGTAAATAGTGTATACTCCCATATGTAACTTTTGTTGATGTACTTCCTTCTTCTTGGATAATAAAATTCTACTTATCCAAAAAAAATATAATAGGAAATGCTAACGTGCGACAGTCTTAATATACAGTTAAAATATGCGCTATTAGTTTTGTTATTGTTTAAATAACAAAACGGGTAAAAAATGACCTTAAATATTATTAGTTGCTACCAGTTTTGTTATTATTTGACATTTTACCGGATTTGATAAAAATGACCAGAAATATTATTAGACGCTATCTGTTTTATTATTGTTGGATATTTTTACCGGAAATGTTAAAAAAATTGATATTTTAGGTAAAAATAATAATATTTTAGATAATTATTTTTAGTAATTTTATTATTTAAACAATAACAAAATCGATAATGTTTTATTTTAACTTTATATTAAGGTGTACTGTATAACTTCCCGATTATAACGCTCTCTATGTATCAATGGAGTTCTCTCTCATGACTCGTGTGACTAATCTTCTCTGCAACATTGACTAGTTTTTTTTCCCCTTTTCTTTTCGGTCTTTGTGATTCTTCTTTGAAGCCAAGGGGTAGTTTCGAAGAAAATTAAAAAATGACTCCTTTTATGGAAATGGGATCTGCTTTTTCACATTCACATCATAAATAATATATTAATGATATCAACTATAACAGTAAAAAACAAAAAATAATATTAAGTACCGATATTATTATTATCATGTTTCTTAACTGATACTTCTGTGAAAAGTAGAATCCATGGAGGTCGTGATTTCTACTGCAGGTTTTTGTCTCTTATGCCTTTAACGATGCCTGAGATTCTTTGCTTTATTGAACCATGTTAAGAGTTCAGATATAATAACAAGTATTAAGTTGTTTCCTCTTTTGTATTTTTGGATTCAGGACTGATTTTGATTTGATACAACTCTGACTCAGAAAGTAAGGAGGTAAAGAGACAATGGAGGGTGACTCGTTCTCAGGGATTGACGATGGAACTCAGATAGATGGCAGGGTGGTGCAGATATTTCAAAAGAGCTTTGTTCAGGTACAGAATATCTTGGACTAGAACAGGCTTCTCATCAATGAGATAAACCAGAATCATGATTCCAAAATCCCAGACAACTTGAGCACAAATGTTGGTCTAATCAGGGAGCTGAACAGCAACGTAAGAAGAGTTGTGGGACTCTATGCTGATCTTTCAAGTTCCTTCACCAAATCCATGGATACCTCATCTGAAGAGGACTTGAGTGGTGCCATGAGATCAGATGGCAAAGCTGGTCACAAAAGAAACAGACCTGTTTGATTTGGTTGAAAGAAGAACAAAAGTTGGGGGCCCTTTTCGTTGGTAATTCTTTTGCATGGTGGCAAATGGAGTAAAAAACTAAGAAATGGTCAGATTTTGTAACTATCTCCTATTTGTATCATTGATGAACTGTCTTTGGTTCTCAAACCTACTGCTCTCTCATATTTGTTAGCCAAAAGTAATAGGTCTATGATTTCTCGTACTGCACTGTAACTCTCTGCAACCTTGGATCTGAAGCAAGCATATGGGGATCGGGGGTGTTCATTAATTTCTAAATTTGCTGCTGTGTCTTTGAAATGTATAACAAAAAGGTTATTTACCTCTAATGTTAAACCATCTATCTACTCCTTTGTTCATCTTGTAAATGTTGCTTTTACAAAGAACTGATCTTTATTTCTGTCACGCACTTTGAACTTCTTAAATTTTACACTGATCAGGAAAATATAGGTGTTCAAGAGCTTTTAGTTTATCCTGACCTTTTTCCTCTCTGTCAAAAAGGCTGATATCTGCAATAATCAGTCTCGGTTATTCATTTTATTGTCAGAGTATAAAGACTGAATTCTAATAAACTAATATCTACTAAAATATAACGATGAAATGTAGAATTAAGTCTTCTTTATTTAGTAAAAATATAATGTATTTTATATATAATAATGATTTGAAGTAGTTTAATGGAATTAATCATGTTAAAGTGCTGAAGATTAAATGATAGATGAAGGGTGTAATCTAATGTAGAAAACTAAAGCCTGAAAGCCAAAGCCAAAACATAACATGTGAGAATGGGAATCTACTTTTTCCCTTTCATCCTTTTTGTTCCTTGCATTTCCAGCAATTAGGTTGGAAAAGGAAGAAAACAAAGTCCAGTCCAAAAGTTCTCTCTCATGAGATTATCCACATCATTATTACTAGGTTAGTCTAAATATACAAAACAATCTAAATATACAAAACATGAAATGGAGAAGTGTAGAAAAAGATGACAAGAAGACAAGTGAGGACCCACACCTCCCAATCATCGAAAATGGTGAGTTGGGTGATGTGCAAGTGAGTTGACTTGGTACATTTAGTAGTGTCCTATTACTATTTTTGAACCATCATTATCATTAGTTGGATCATTTACAACTTAATAAAGTTGGATTATATATAGATTTTCTTTTTTGATCACCATTATTCCTTATATTAATTAATTAATTTAGGTCAGGTAATGCATATATCCATATGAGGATTTTCTTTTCCAACCCAATCTACTTTGTTCACATATCACAGTTTAAATTTTTTACTTTGTTTAAGGATCTAATGTCTCATCTTACTTGATGTTGTTGATGGATTAGATATACGATTAACCGAAAATTTAATTGACTTAACGGTACGTGAGACATTTAAACTTTTCTAAAAAATTCAAAGTAACATTTGAACTATTTTTGCTCTCAATATGACTCTCAAACTCAAGAAAAAAACCAATGTGAGCCTTTGATCATTGATCGTTTCTTTCATTCATTATTATGATGCTAACATGATAGTTCATAGTGTTGACATTACAATCCATGGTGGATGATAACGTGACTGATGACATGACACATGAGCTAAATTGATTTTTTTATCAAGTCTGAGAGTTAAATTTTTTTAATGTACAATGACTTATTTGATATTTAAAAAGTTAAAAATATTTTAAATTTAAAATAAAAGTATTCAAAGAAATTAAATAAAAAATAAAAAAATACAAAATAAAATACAAAATAAATATTAAAAATACAAAAAACACTATTCATCTACTAAACATATATGAAACATGTCATGCCAACGAATACCTTCAATAGAAAGAGACACTACAAAGCATTTTTCCTGCGGTGCTTGTTCTCAAAACTCGAAAGAAATCAGAATATCATCCATTGAGTCCTCCCACGAGTCAACAACTTCAACCTAAGCATACAAAATATGGGTTAGAAAGAAAAGTATCAAATATAATTGCTCAACGACAAAATATCAAACTTAACAGAATATACGGCATACACATTGTTCACAAAGATAAAAAGTAAGAAGTACAATATATGTTTTTTTTAATATATATTTTTTATTTTTCATAACTTATAATTTATCATTTTATAGTTTGTGATGTATTTTTTTTTAATTTTTAATAGTGTTTTTAATATATACATACATATATATAATAATTCATTTTAATTTTAATATTTTAAATTTAAAAAAATCAAATAAGCCTTTAAACTTTAAAAAAATTAATTTGACCCTCGAACTCGAATTTTTTTTTAACCAATTTATCATTTCATCTATCACGTCATCATTCATCATGGACCGTTACATCAACATCCTTAATTATCATGTCAACACAGTAAACTACCATGTCAATATCGTAACAATCAACGATAGAAACTGTTGGTTAAAGGGCCACTTCTTTCTTGAGTTTGAGGACCATATTAGTTTTTTCGGAAAAGCTTGAGGGCCTCACATACCATTAAGCCAATTTAATTAATTAATTGATGGGTGAATGGACCAATTTTCCGGGCCTTGACCTGTGTTCCGACTTCCGAGTTCACCAAGAACCGATCATCACTAACTTTGCTGAAAGAAAAATTCAGCCGAAGCCCAATGTTTGGGGTCCAAAATCCACTAAAAGTCCTAGTTAAGAATCAATATATTCATTTTGCTAGCGTTTGTAGAGCTTCAGCCGTCTTCTTCAGATTTCATATTTCTGCAACTTCCCCTTCATTCCACTCCACCCAAGCCTAAAAAATCATGGCGGCAGCTCAAATCAGCAAAAAGCGAAAGGTATCGTCTTCCATCTCGTTTTTTCTTCACTTAGTATTCCATTCTCCCGCCATTTCTTTAACTAGTTTTTGTTTATTTGCTACTGCATTCAGTTCGTCGCTGATGGAGTCTTCTTCGCCGAACTCAACGAGGTCTTGACCAGGGAACTGGCTGAGGATGGATACTCCGGAGTCGAAGTAAGAGTTTCTCCAATGCGCACCGAGATCATCATCAGAGCCACCCGCACCCAAAACGTTCTCGGTATTTTTTTTATATACAAATCGTGTTTTTCTACTGCTTCTAATTATTATTTAATTTGCACTTGTGATTTTAAACTTTGATGATTGGGGTTTACAGGTGATAAAGGTAGGAGGATTAGGGAGCTTACCTCAGTGGTTCAGAAGCGATTCAAGTTCCCCGAAAACAGCGTTGAGCTTTAGGCTGAGAAGGTCAAAAACAGAGGCCTTTGTGCTATTGCTCAGGTCGAGTCTCTTCGCTACAAGTTACTCGGAGGTCTTGCCGTCCGCAGGTGCATACTCGAAATCGATTCGTTTGTTCTTACAGATTTAAATGATTCTAATATTGTTCCTTCAAATAAATTATGGATTTGTTAATAGAACGTCATCTACAAAGCAAATTGGTTCTTCACCGCCAATTTTTGTGTCGGAAGGTGACAAAAGTAATTAAATAAGATATTTCTTCCTTTACTTTATCCCGCTGAAATGCATTTGGTTTTCGTGCAGTAAACTTAGGGGAAGGAACAATTTCAAAACTATCCAATTCTTAATATCCAATTCGATATGCATTCAATTTTTATTCTAAATTGATGAATTTGAGAAATGTTGAATGATGATTTGTTAGTGCTTGTGTATATTCAATTTGAATGTTTCCAATTGTTATTACAATATATTTAGTAATTTATAAAGCAATAGGTGATTTCTGTACTGATTTTGTGTTGGAACTTGGAAGATGACAAGAGTAATACAATCCTCCATTAAATTATTCCATTTGAAATTCAATGGTTTTTGTACGGTAGCATTTTGGAGGATATGAATGTTATTCTCAATTCCATTATTCAGCTTTTGGTGTAATTAATTGATCTCCCTATTGATTTAGTATTAATTGATCTCCCTATTGATTTAGTATTTGTGAACACGAAATGGTATAACTTGGGAAATTTTCTTTGTGCATTTAATCTGATACCTGGGATGTTTTTTTACAGGGCCTGCTATGGTGTACTGAGGTTTGTGATGGAGAGCGGTGCTAAGGGATGCGAGGTTCATATACTAAGTCTACTTTGGGGTTTATATGTTCTATCTTTATTTGGTTCCATTTTAAACCTTGTGATATTTGTTTCCTTTGGTGATAGGTTATTGTTAGTGGAAAGCTAAGAGCACAGCGTGCCAAATCTATGAAATTCAAGGATGGATACATGATCTCTTCCGGACATCCGGTCAATGAATATATCGACTCTGCTGTTAGACATGTTCTTTTGAGACAGGTTTGCAATTGTTTTGTTCAGTTTTTACTCTGCTGTGACCCCTCTCAGTCTTCATTTTTTTTATTCATTTTATTGATACAGGGGGTGCTTGGTATCAAGGTCAAGATCATGCTTGACTGGGATCCTAAGGGCAAGCAGGGCCCGACAACACCACTACCTGATCTTGTAACAATCCACCCTCCCAAGGAGGATGAAGTTTTTATCAGGAAAGAAGAGCCTGCGCCAACTGATATCGAGGTTCCTGTGATGGCTTAGATCTTTGTGGTCCTTCTGTTTGATTTGTTGGACTATTTGTATCTAAAATTTGGCCCTAAATGCATCTTCAGCTTGTGTTTTCTTTCTGTACTTTCATATCATGTTATACCAAGGTTTTTACGTATTAGTTTTGTTCAAAATCGTATTTGATTCTGCTGTTACAGGCTTGTATTAAGTTTTTAGTATTCTGCGTCTACCCACAAACGAAACCCCACTTTTGGAATTTGACGAGTGATTATTAGGAATGAGCAAAACTCAACTTTGACTAAAACAAATTAAGTTCAATGCTAAAAATTTCAGTTTCACCCAACTCATTATTTTATAACTTTGAAAAAAAAATCAAATACAATTTTAACTATAATGCAAGATTTGAATAATTCAAAATCTTTTAATAATTAGTATATTGTTTTTTAATTTGAGTAGTGTTTTTAATTTTACATGAAATACATATCTCCCTATGAATATATATATTTTATAAATATTTATAATTAATTTTAAACAATAATTCAACTCGAAAAAAGTTTGTAATAAGATTCAAGCTATAAAATAAAACTTGTCAATTCAAATCAATCAGTTACACATTATAGAGATCATCTCGTAGTCAAATATATGTTGGGATGACTGGCAAATAAATGTATTTGTTGAAAATAATGAATACTTAATAAGATGAAAATGGGAAATTTGGGAAACCACAGGGTCTCAGCCAAAAGCAGTGTTCATTATTGGAAACGTTTAAAGGATAGATATAGAGGTTTTTAGGGAAAAAAGCACAATCAATGCATATATTAGTATTTTAGAGAAATGGTTGAGGTCTGCTTGACAGGGTCGAAGTTGGACACGCCAATTAGAGCTCCAACAATGGCAGCAAGCACAAGACCAGCAGCCGTGATGCTAAGCAAGAAGTTTTTGAGAGAAGGTGTGACTCCATCAGCAGCTTGAGGGATCAGCATGTATGTTGTGATTGCCGCTGCTGTCTCCTTTACTGATGAAGCAGCTTTCACTTCACCGCCTTCACTGACAATGGCTTCAACAAACCCTCTGAGCCAACCCCCTTGTTTTGGGTAGCCCCAGCTATTGGCAGAGCCATTGAAACAGTGGAAGGCTGGAAGCCATTGCTTTTATTTCTTCTCTGCTCTCTCTCTCTCTCAGTCTAAAAACCTTCAATTTTCTCTGCTCCTATGAAGGGAAATGGAGGGAGGGGAATCATTTTAGATTTGTGGTGCTCTTGCCATGTCAGCATTATTACGTGGAAGCTTCTAAACTTGGAATTAATGGATAAGGTTATCCTTTATTGGTCAAATGGCTCACCAACTTTGGAATTTAGGGACAGCATGTACGGTTTTTAGCAATAAACCTGTATCTAGAAAACTAGCCTACGGCCCATTCAATAGGAGCAATATCAACCCAAACATGCAAAAGTAGAAAAAGTCAAATAGAAATAGGGCTTGACTAATATTGAGGACAAAATTAAGTATTCATATACTATTGTTTTCTAACAAAATCAACCAAGCTAATATATCTTGTTAATTACGCATTTAAGTTCTTAATTTGATTCAATCATGAGAGTTTAATTATTTTTAATAGAATAAATCTCTCTAAATTGATTATGTTTAATTGTAAAAATGTTACACTATTAAAAGTTTTAAGTAGCTTAAATTCCATGCAAGCAGAGAGACAGAGCACCGAGTATCAAAGAAGAAACACATTCTTTCATTGAAATTGATATTTTTTTTACCACCACCCAGTTGATGCTCTTTATGATCAGCCACCAGTTTTTAAGGAACCAATAATAATAACAATAAAGCTTCCATGAAGCTCGGAAAACTTAGCTGCTCAAGGTACCAGTTGGCAAAAACACCTGGCTTACTTCACTGTAGTAGAAGGGATTCTACAGGAAATGTGAAAATTACTAACCCTCCACACAGTTTTTAATAGCCTCATTTATAGGAATTGTTCGTGGATCCTTGCTCGGTTCTCTTCCCACCACAGTCTAGCATGCATCTCCCCAAATCTTTCTCGGCTGCATCATTCAAGCATTAAGTGATTGAAAACAGAAACAATCAAAACAGTTTATCGGTAAAAAAAAAACAGGGTAAAAAGAAGGGTTCATGGTAGATTTGGATCCGCATGGGATGGGAGTAAAATTATTAGTGAAAGCAGAATAAGTGAACCAGTAATGATGCTGTAAAAACAAACAAACAATGATTTCCAACTTAACAATGGAATCATATCATAATTGTTTCTCTAAGGTGGACCTTAATCATAGAATTGGCCTGTGTTGGACACATCAGCTTAACAATGGAATCATATCCATGGCTCAAAATGACTTTGCTCCTATTGACGAGAATGCATCAAATAAATCACTTGAGTTGGCCTCAACAGATAGCAGATTTACTACCTATAATAGTCCCTAAAATACAAGAAAAGCCATTGAATACAAGAGAAAGAGAGTGCAAGTTACATCACATTCTACCTTATCATAGTCCGTAGAATACAAGAAAATCTATTAAATAGCAAATCATCGCATGTGATGGGAGACATCGAAGCTATGATGTCAACTAGCAATAAGAGCATTGGACGGCCGCAAGATTTTATGCTAGAGGGGCGAACTTATAAAATTTTAAAAAGGATGAAAACAAATTATCAATAGAAAATACAAAGAAAATATTGAAATTATATAAGAATTTGAAATTTTCAGGGGATGACCATCCCCACTAGTTCCCCTCAGTTCATCCCTGAGAGCACTGCAACATTTATTAGGCTCACATATTGCTAAGATAAACTTTGGGGTATTTGGAAGTTTCTAAAATGTTTCAAGTGCCAAGAACAGTTTGACAGATTCATGCAAGCACATTCGTGTATCTGTTTTAGTTGTTTAATGGAAAACCAACTATAAGTGAGGTTAAAGAATGTCATGAAATCATACCTGAATCTAACTCGCCTAAGCTCCCTTTTGCCCCCTGGCAAGGCTTTGATGGTAATGTAAACCCCTGGCTCGTCTTGTTCGACCCATTCAGTCTCGGGATCACTGGCATTGCTCATGGAAAGCTCCCCGTAGCGGTCGGCCTCTCTTGATGAGCTACTCCTCATAGAGGCATCCATTGATGATATCTCTGTCTTGGCACCACTCATACTTGAAACTTTTGGAGTTGAGGCAACACCAGAGTCGCAATAATTCTGAGCCTGCATCGGATGTTGATCGAGTGAATCTGAGGATGAGTAGCCGACACTCAGCCCTGTTGGACGGTATAAGTTACGAGGTAATCGTTCTCTACTCAATGGCGGTGTTACAGGGCTTGCTTCTGCTGATTCCATTTTCGAGCTCTGGGAGGAATCAAAAGAACGTTGTTACTAACATTGAAATAAATAAGCCTTGATCCAATTCACACTATCTTGAGCAGCAGGCAACAGCCTAAGAACTAGCCTCATCTTCGGATATCGGTGGCGTTGGCAGTGCGAATGCATTGCGGTTTAACCTCTGGACATTGTAAAGTTCCTTGATCCTGTATAGCTCTCAGACCAGCATCTTTGAGCTTGCCATTTGTTAAACATTTCTCGACTGGTCAAACAAAATAAACTAGATTTCAGCACTCCTGATGTTCATCGTACTAGCATATACCAGAAACACAGTAATAGCAGACATGCATTAGGGTCGTCAAGCAAAATTTTCGGTCAAAATTATCTGAAAATAAAGATCAAATTTGTCTACTTTTGAAACTTTAATTTCACAAAATTAGGATAATACTCAATACCTGCCATTACCTTTTTCACAAATCAATAACTTGAAAACCGAACCACGACCAGTATCATTGCCTAATAAACAACTTTCGACTAAACATTTCCCCTGCTTTGAATCATAAAAAAAGCTAGCTAGTCACCAAACCTTAGGTAAGGAGAATATTAAAATTTTCTACGTATCATCATTGTGTTTAAAGCAGTGGAGAACATTAATCTTCCAAAAAGCAAAAGCATCAGTAAACGAGGAGCTTTATCAACCATTAAACTATCTATAACCATACGAACACAGAAGTGGTGGTGGAAAGTACAGTTAATTAAGGAACCAACTGAAATCAAAATTCTAGAACAGATACAAAGTATTATATTTAAAAAAAAAATCATCTTGACTTTCAGAATTTGTTAGCATATGATAACTCACACACATCCCCCAACCTACCATTAGCCTATGTTTGTCATTGTCCATGAAAAAAACATGAAAAGATGAAGGTTGTAATCTGGGTGTTGTTTGTTAGTTGGTAAAAGATAGGTGAGTGAAGGGTCAAATACTTTTGTGTTGCATGTAGGTTTTGGTGTGGGAACTCCGTGGCTAATAGTAGGAAAATATGACAAGAGATGGGTGTTGTCTGAAGTGGGATTCTTTTGGTTGAATGGAAGAGAAAAGGGAGAGATTAGGCGTGAGTGAAGCCCTACAGTTGCACTGTAAGCCCCCCCTCGACTTAAAGATTTCTTTAGTTGCTAACCCCATGTTTGGAAGCCAAGTTAATAGAATTAAAAAATGTAGAAAATAATTAAACTAAATTTATAAATCTTATTTTATGATTTTATTATTATTATTCGATTAATCTGGGTAAGTACAAGACATTATTTGTTCAAAGACAACACTCAACCTCTCGACATTGAAAGCTCACAACTTTAATATTTATGATGCTCGAACTTGAATCCTTAAGGAATAACAATAATTTTTTTACCACTAAGGCCACTTGGAATAAAATTTCAAGTTGAAGTTAAAAAATAATTATTTTTATTTTCTTAGATACTAATGTAGAACAACTAATGATTTTTTTACTCGATTATAAAATTATAAAATTAACCATACAAAAAATTAAATTTTCAATTAAACTTTAACATAATTAATTATTTTAAGTATAATTTAAAATACTACAAAATAAATAAATTAAAGAAAAAAGATTATAAAAATATGAGCAAATTTGTCCTACGATGAGAGAAATTATCAACATCAATCAACAATTTTGTTCATAATATAGACATCAATAAAAAAAATTACTCGAATTCAATAACAATTATCGATATCTTTAACAAATAACGCTTACATTATTAACACATTAAGTACTCATAAAATCTCATATTAATTATATATTAATTTATATAAACATTTAAATAGAATTTTCATATATACTTTTTTTATTAATAATTGTGGTCGAAAAAACATGTTTTAAATAATTTTTAAAAAAATATTTTCCAAGTTCTAAAAAATAAATAATTGAGCCTTCTGAATTCTGAGACATTAGAAAGGACAAAAAACATTTTAAACACCGACAAAAACGAGATAGTGGTTAATAATGTAATTTGGAATAAAGAATCCCTCAAAAAAATTCCCCCCGCCCAGGCATTAAAAATGAACTGAAACCAACAATTTAAAGGAATACCTTTCTTTTTACAAAAGAAATTCCATTTCATTGTCTTTTTTAGCCAACTTTTATTTATTTAGTTAGACAAATAATCTATTATTACCAAAAATAAGAAAGTTTCAATTTTTTTTAGATAAATAAAAGAATATTATTACCCAAATGAGAGCAGTAAACTGTTACAATATAGACATCAGAACAGATATAATATAGACATCAAAACAGTTTCAGTTAGCAAAACAACCAGCGTGGAGCATGAACAACCAACATAAAAGGTTAGTCAATACCCCATTGAATACAAAGAGAGATATTAACTCTATCTATTCTATTGATTATCCTATCTTTTAGTTGAATTCTAACAAACTCCTTAATAGCTTTAAGGATTTCATCAACCGTTATTGAGCTTCTTCGGAATAGCCTTTTGTTTCTTTCTTCTCAAAGAGAATAAATAAATGCAGTCCATGCAAGCTTCAGAATATTTATTAGGAGGGAGTTACCTGTCCAAGAACCACATGCCCAGGACATTTGATGATCACAGGACAATGAAGATCTCCGCAAGCCGGTTAGTATTAAAATTTCCTTCCATAGAGAGCTTGTTAGTGGGCATTCCATGAACAAGTGATCTCTTGTTTCCTGTGTTTCTTTACATAAAACACATAAACCATCAGTAGCAATACCCATATGTTGTAATTTAATTTTAGTAGGAAGTCTGTCCAAAATAGCCATCCAAGCGATCATGCTGTGTTTAGGATTGTGGAGGGGAAACCAAATCAGATTATTCCAGTGAACTTTGTCTCTCTTAACCCTAGTCTCTTCCCAAATTGCACGAATTGATGTTACTCCGGTTGAGAAAACAGCGTTGGCTTCACTCCTTAGTTTTAGTAATTTTCTGAAAGTCCAGTTGGTATTAGTACCGCTTTCAATGTGCCAGAAGTCTTTATCGTTGAGGACGTAGTTGTTTAGCCAAGCAACCCACAATGAACCTTCACCTGCTAGGATATTTCGAATAAGCTGGATCATACACGCCTTGTTCCACGTTTTTAAGTCCTTTAAATCAAGTCCTCCTTCAAGTTTCGATTGGCATATCGTTCCCCAGCTTACTCGAGCTCCAGTAGCCGCTTTATCATGAATTCCAATGGCCACTACCTGCTGCCTTTCATTGAATGATTTCTGAGGCTTTTCCTCAGATTCAGGCTCACGTACATTTGAGATGACAAGAGTTGTATCCTGAGAAGTTATCGAAAGCTAAGAAATATAATATAAATATTAGAACATCTTATTTCGTGCGAATTCTAAGTTCCCATTATCACAATAAATGTTGTCGGTACCGATGAAACCTTTCCATTCTCTGGAATCCTCTGCAAATTAATTAACAAATAATCAGAATGTATTTCTCTAAAGGTACATTGAAGTTTACAAAATGAGGATGAGTTATGAACTAATAATATTAATTTGTACCGGAATAATCATTCTTCTTTGTCTTGCAGTCAAAGATTTCCCAGTTGGTGATATTGCCAGTGACTGCTGGCGAAGTACTTGAATATCGGATTCTGAATTGGCAAGTTTTTCTTATAATCTGAGCGTAGAACAAATCAACTTTAATAGGATGACCGATATTAAATCAAAAAGTTTCAATTACACAGAACATAAAAAGCCACATTAGTTTGGATTCAAACAGCATTTGTTTCTACACAGACCTCTGCACCGAATCTTGAAGTTGGTCCACTTTTCTCTCGGACTCTTCAAGTTTCTTTACCAGCTCGGCATTTCTGGTCTCAACATCTGAACAAGCATTACGAGCTTCTTCAGCTGCTTTTCTTTCTGATAGCAATGAAACCTGCAGTGCCAATGGAACATTTGCTGTCATCATTGAAGTTTCTAAAGTCTCCAAGATAAATAATAGCAAGCCAACAACATTTAAACGGTTGGCAGTATCTTGCAAGCAGAAGTCAATCCACATTAAATTGCTGATTTATTGTTATCCTTGACCTATTTTTATCCTGCAACTTCATATATTCTTCACATAAATTAGTACATCTATTCAATCTTGATTGGTAATTTCATCTGGTTTTCTGTTGTAGTCACTAACAAAATGAAGTTGTAAGCTTGTGGCTGTAGCCACTAGCAAAAACTAAACCATATCAGCATATGGTGCTACTGTCGAGACTCATTGAGAGCGTATATTTTAAATAGAACATTAATTATTTTTATGTATAGAATATCATAGGAGGGAAATGGACATACACCGACCATAGTCGTGAAGGTTAGAATGCTTACCTTCAAACTCTCTACCTCAGCAGCCAAGGAATTAACCTTTTCTGCGTCCTGAACAATAACAGGAGTCTCCTTAATAATAACTGGAGGAGCTTCCTCAATAGCTTTCCTAGCAGCCTCTTGCTCTTTTATGACTAGCATTTAATTCTTCCACTTGTATTTGCATTGCACGCAAAGCATCGTGTAAATTGGCAATTTCTTGTGCCTTCTCCTCTTCTAAATCAGTCTCATTAAATTAAAATAGATGGTTTTACTTGTTAAAACATAAAAGGATACAGAAAATTGCAACAAAACATTAATATAGGTTAGATCATTAAATGTCGTAAATTACCCTCAAACGTTTCTCAAGCTGCAAACGCCAAGTAAGTTCTTCTACACGTTTTTCCAGTTTGTCTTTTGCTTCTTTTAGAGCCCCTGTTTCTCGGGCAGCCTAAATAAATGTGAAGTAATGGTTATATAGTGTGTTTAAAATGTGAAATCCATCAAAGTTTTTTGGAGCAAATGTTCAGAGAAAAAAAGTGTTCAGACCATCTTGAGCTTTCTGAGCTCTCTCCTAGCAACCCTACTCCAACCGCATTGAGTAGCTAACGCCACTTTCTGGAGATTCTTATGATAAGAGTATGCAACATGACAACGCAAAGCAGCCTGAATGTTACAAAAAATATTCAGTTCTCCAAATTGAGGCTCAGACCTTCATAGCTTCAAAATAACTTGCAACTTTCATCAACAAATCACATTAATTTTATGAAGATTAAGATAACATAGGCAATTAATTATAGCAGAACCTGAATGATAATCGCAGCCTTAGTTTGCTTTCTGAATCTGAATTCATTCCGAGCAGTCATTGCCCTTAAGCCAGTCTGCAATATTATTGCAGCCAGTCTCTCTTAATATAAATAGGATTCCCTGGCAATGTGTCGCTTAAAGTTCTTTTGAATCTTCAAAGCATCTGCTTCCCTTCTCAACTGCTCATGCACCTTGCAGGCTAACATACCTGATTATGTGAACGAAATCACATGTCATTAGACATAAACAGGATACACATTTCAGTGTGCTCAAAGCCAAAACTAAGAGCATCTGAGAGCCACGGTTGCATTTCAAAGAATATGTCTATAACTCCTACTTCTGAATATTATCAGCTTCATACATTGATTTTTCAACTTCAGATGGCACTAAAAATATACCTAGCCAATGGGATTGCAACATGATTACAGCTTTACGTCGTGCAATGAATTCCTTCCGTGCAATATATGTTCGAAATTGCCTTTGAATGGTTCTGGCTGCATTTCCAAGGACTTCTGCCCTTCTGGCATCTAACTCAGCCATCTGACCAGCTCTGAGGAAAACTTTGGTCTTACCTATCTGCCTTGACAATCATGTTAAACAGAATGTGATGCGCAAATTACAAACCCACTGATAATGCACATTGATTGTTCTGTAAGATGATCGCACAAGATCTTCAATCACAGAAGAAAATACAAACAGAGCTATAAGAGCTAGATGGCAGTTAACAACAATTCATCAAGGGTACATTCACCCATCAAGAACACTTAAATGAGAGGCATTCATGATGGAAACGAAAAGGAACAGTTAGTTGATAAGCTTTCAATCCCCTCATCCTCTCATCCCATTATACTTCCTAAACACCATAACCATAATAATGAACTGTTAGGTCATGTTTCAGTTACTTGATAACCTTTCAATCCCATCTTATCCAGGATCATTTGACATGCAACCTTGTCGTCATGACTGCACATACAATGAAAGAAAAAGGTAAATGGTAAAACCATATGCAATAGTAGGGAAAACTAAAATAAGGAAACCAAGAAAAATGTATAACATTAATTCCAACATCAACCAATATTATGTAAAGGGAGTCATTACAGTGCAATTGTACTCGTCTTTGGCTAAAGAAGTTGAAAAGCACATGCTGAAGTTCTATACCATCCACTTCATGATAGAATATTTTAATAGAAGGATCTTGGTTTATCGCATAGTGTTAAATTAGCAGGACTGAGATGCATTCTTGTCACTTGTTTACAACTACAAAATTGTAGGATCTACAACATACTTCCCCTCCAAAATTTCTGGAGCAAGAACACCAAAACGATGAAGAAACTCGTAAAATGTTCTTCTTGTAGGATATCCTGCACAGCTGATCCTAATGGCCTCAAGAACACCCTATAAGAAAGAAAATGACAAAAATAACTTCATAACAATTAACGACAATCAAAAGAACCGGCTGATATTTTGGAGCAAAACAAATAGAAATAATTATACTGCTAAAATATACTCACACCGCATCGTAATTGTTGAATTATATTGGCATTCTCAAAAATAGCAGGCTTGAGGAGATTGTTTGGCTTCACACATCTAATATAGTGAGGCTCTGTTGAATACAACGTCTCCATCACAATATATATATAAATTACCAGAGATGAAATTATATAAAATAGCAAGATAATAAGTTAGTAGTTGCAATTGCAAATGAATAAGAGCATCTATCAACTATGTCATTTGTCTCCAGAAATCATCCATGTTAATACCATCAGAACACCAAAAGCATTCTATTTCAAGTTGGCCAGTTTTCCTTTTTCCAGCAAGGTCTGATTTTAGTTTTTTGACCAGGAATAATTACACTGTGCTGATACCCAACACCAGGGTTATAGAGTCATATTCTGAATTAGTGGTCAAAGAGTATTTCTACTCCCTTTATTTTACAACTTAGACGGTTAAAATAAAATAGTCACAACATACTACGTTAAACTAGCTACCGATTTGTTTAAAGGTATAATAATAATGTAAACGGTATAATAAAATAGACGCAACCTATTACATTAAACTAGCTCCATGTTTGTTTAAAGGTATAATAATAATGTAAACGGTAAAATAAAATAGACGCTAATTATTACGTTAAACTACCTACTGGTTTATTTAAAGGTATAGTAATAATGCAATCGATAAAATATTTACAACTTAACTGGTTAAAATAAAATAGGTGTTACCTATTACGCTAAACTACCTACCGGTTTGTTTAAAGGTATAATAATCATGTAAACGGCAAAATAAAATAGGCGCTACCTATTATGTTAAACTACATACTGATTGTTTAAAGGTATAATAATAATGTAACCGATTAAAATAAAATAGAAGCTACCTATTACATTAGACCACCTATTAGTTTGTTTAAATGTATAATATTAATGTAAACGGTAAAATATTTACAACTTAACCGATTAAAATAAAATAGGGGCTAACTATTATGTTAAACTAGCTATCGATTTATTTAAAGGTATAATAATAATGTAAACGATAAAATAAAATAGGCGCTATCTATTACGTTAAACTACCTACTGATTTGTTTAAAGGTATAATAATAATGTAATAAGTTAAAATAAAATAGACGCTACCTATTACGTTAAATTAACTACCGGTTTGTTTAAAGGTACAAAATTAATGTAAACGGTAAAATATTTAAAACTTAACCGGTTAAAATAAAATAGGCGCTACCTATTACGTTAAACTACTTACCAATTTGTTTAAAGGTATAATAATAATGTAAACGCTAAAATATTTACAACTTAACCGTTTGAAATATTTTTTTTAGAATTCGAAAGTATCGATACTTGTAGGTTGATGTGGGGGTGGAGTTCATCAACTTTTTCAAAAATATCGATACATCATATATCAATTATCGATATTTTAACATTCACCAACTTTTTCAAATGCTAAAGTCTAGATAACAATCATCAAAAATCCAAAATTTTAAAGTATCGATATCAGAAATTAATAATTTTCCTAAATACGTATCGATACATATACACTAAGTATCGGTATTAATAATTTTCATACATCTACACTTAGTATCGATACATAGTATAAGAGTTTCAATACATCTACACTAAGTATTGATATTTTTACAAAGATATTTTAATGAAATTTTTAAATAAGTAACTTTAGATCTTAACTTTTCATTTTTTTTTCTCAAATTAACAAGTATCTAAAATGATAAATATCGAACATCATAGAAAACAATATTGATATTTGCTAAAGTATCAAACATCAGATCATAGTAATATCGATATTTATTTTAAAAATAATTATTTGAAGATACGTAACATATTAAATCGCTGTTGATTTCATTAAACACAACTTTAATATTCCAGATCCCAACCTACTTCTTTATTCACAATAACATTATTGGGCTTAACCTAGTATGTTAATATTTATTTATAACAAAATAAATATTTAACCTATTTTGTTGTCGTGGTATTTCGAATGCCTCATCATCTTAAACTTTGGTAACATATTATGCACAACCTAATATGTTGATAATATTTATAGCAAAATAAGTAATTAACCTATTTTGTTATCGTGAGATTTCTAAGGCCCAATCAACTTAAACTTTGATAACATTTTAGACGCTATCTAATATGTTGATAATATTAATAACAAAATAAATAATTAATCTATTTTGTTATCTTCAGATTTTTAAGGTCACATCAACTTTAAACAAATACAATCTATTACGTTAAATATACTCAACTTATTAAGTTATTACGATTGATAATGTTTATAGTAATTAACCTAAATTATTAAAAGTAATATTTTTTTACCTATTTTACATATAACGATAACATTTTCGATTATTACTATTATTATTATCAACACAAATAAATTTTCAATAATATTTTTAATTGATCACATATTTAACCAATCTCACCGTTTTTTAACCGTTTTTTAAGCGATTCTAGAACCTCCCTAAACATTTCAAGAGACAAAAATCAAGATTAACAAGTGAAAAATCGAACGGCTAGAAAGGAGTATAGAGAACCGTGGCATCTAGCCCTTCAGGGCCCTACAAAACAACCCCTCTCCTATTTTAAGCGCCCTATTTTCCTTTACTTGTCTCACGCTACCACCCGCCGCCTCCATTCTCAAACATGGCTTACTCTTGTTCGTTGTTCCACTCTTCTCTCGCCTCCAAATCCAACTTCCGTTCGCTTCACCATCGGAGCCACCGCAGCTCCAATCGCCCCGCTCCTACTGTTATCTCATGTTCCTCCTCTTCCACATTCGATTCTTCTTCTGCCACTAGTTCCTCCAACAACTCCCCTTCTCCCCAAAAGAACCGACGCCATGCGGATGAGAACATACGCGACGAGGCTCGCCGCCACCGCTCCACCGCCAAGAACACCCTCTCCGCCAAATATGTTCCGTTCAACGCTGGACCCGACTCCACTGAGTCCTACTCTCTCGACGAGATCGTTTACCGGAGCCGTTACGGTGGACTGCTCGACGTTCAACACGATATGGAGGCTTTGAAGAAGTTCGACGGTGCGTATTGGAGGGAGCTATTCGATTCGCGCGTGGGGAAAACCACGTGGCCGTACGGGTCTGGAGTTTGGTCGAAAAAGGAATGGGTCTTACCCGAGATTGACCCGGATGACATCGTTTCGGCTTTTGAAGGGAACTCCAATCTGTTTTGGGCGGAACGGTTCGGGAAACAGTTTCTGGGAATGAACGATTTGTGGGTTAAGCACTGTGGAATCAGCCACACTGGCAGTTTCAAGGATCTGGGAATGACCGTTTTGGTCAGTCAAGTTAATCGACTGCGAAAACTGAAACGGCCCGTCGTTGGAGTCGGCTGCGCTTCCACGGGCGACACATCAGCTGCCTTATCCGCTTATTGCGCTGCTGCTGGGATTCCTTCCATTGTCTTTTTACCCGCGAATAAAATCTCCATTGCCCAATTAGTTCAGCCCATTGCAAACGGCGCGTTCGTCTTGAGTATCGACACTGATTTCGACGGTTGCATGAAGTTAATCCGGGAAGTTACCGCCGAGCTTCCAATTTACCTTGCCAATTCATTGAACAGTTTAAGACTCGAAGGGCAGAAAACGGCTGCGATTGAGATTTTACAGCAGTTTGACTGGGAAGTTCCTGATTGGGTTATTGTTCCTGGTGGTAATTTGGGTAATATTTATGCTTTTTACAAAGGGTTCAAAATGTGTCAAGAACTGGGGCTTGTTGATAAGATACCAAGATTGGTTTGTGCCCAAGCAGCCAATGCCAATCCACTTTATCTGCATTATAAATCTGGGTGGAGTGAATTTAAGGCAGTCAAGGCAAATACTACATTTGCATCAGCTATTCAAATTGGTGACCCTGTGTCTATAGATAGAGCCGTGTATGCTCTGAAGAATTCAAATGGGATTGTCGAGGAAGCAACTGAGGAGGAGTTAATGGATGCAATGGCGCAGGCTGATTCCACAGGGATGTTTATTTGCCCTCATACCGGAGTTGCATTGACTGCTTTAATGAAGCTTAGGAATAGTGGGATTATTGGATCTGGGGACAGAGCCGTTGTGGTTAGTACAGCTCATGGATTGAAGTTTACACAGTCTAAGGTTGATTATCATTCGAAGGAGATTCCAGATATGGCTTGCAGGTTTGCTAATCCGCCAATGCAAGTGAAGGCTGATTTCGGTTCTGTTATGGATGTGCTGATGAAGTATTTGGGAGATAAAGCTCCAAAGCACTAGGTGCTGCATTTTGTAAGTTTAGCAATTTGTGCTCTGAGATTTATGTTTGGTTTTAATTTTGGTAGTGTCTTGCTTTTCTTTGTGTTATACAAAGTTTGGATCTAGGTTGCGGTACTTAGTTTACAAATCAACTGTCAGCCACATTAGTAACCTGAGCTTCTTTGAGTCGAAAGAAGCTTAATGTTTTTTTCTCTAGGTAGACCAGGATTATGTTACAGTTGCTTTACTAAATCGTTAAATAAAAGGTTGCATGTGTGGCTTTGGGAAATCAGAATTGGTGATTGTGTCTCAGCCCTCAACAATGTGCCTACCATGATACCATCACTCTGCATTCGTGCCCCGAAGTTTGTGTGTATGTGGAGTTATGGCTTTCGTGTTTCTTCTATACGCTTATCGTACAAGAAAAGTCCTTTAATTCGGTTCTTCCTGGCCATGAAGTGTTTGTGATTTACGGTACTTTTCACATGTGGAACAGAAAATGATAATTCATTATCATCCAAAGGAACTGCTTATCTAATTTATGGGTGAAGTGTGGGAATCTTGGGGCCTGGGCATTGACTTGTTACCAATGAAACTGACCATGCTCATTCTTCATTTTGTAAACTAACTGATTCGTTATGTTCTCAAGTTACCAATCCAATAATAGTTAGCCTAGCTGGTAAGAGGCTTATCAGTGGGGAGATATAAATATCACTGGAAGTTATTTCAATTTAGATTTTGAGTTTCAAAGATGCTTCTTTATTGACACCTTTAAGCAATGGTTGCATATTTGAAGTGAAATGAGCTTTTTGAAACTGCTGATTGGTTCTTCTGGTATCTACAATTTATCGAACAAAGAAGAGCTCATGTCTTATGTTTCCTAACGA